CCTTGTTTTCTTGATGTCCTTCATCCCCTCTGGCTCTTACACTCTTGCCTTCTCTTCTGCAGGGTTCCCTGAGCTCTGAGTGGAGGGATTTGATGCCTACTTAGGGCTGAGTATTCCAAGGTCTCTCACTTTCTGTGCAGTGTCTGGCTGTGGGTCTCTGTGTGTGATCCCATGTGCTGCAGGGAGAAGCTTCTCTGATGATGTCTGAATAAGACAATCTATGAGCATAGCAGAATATCCTTAGGAGTCATTTTATCATTACTTTTTCCTTCTCTTCCTCCTCTTCTTCCTCCTCCTCCTCCTCCTCCTCCTCCTCCTCCTCCTCCTCCTCATCTCACTTTTCTTTATATCAGTAGTATTTGGTATAAATGTACCTTTTTTTCTCTTGTTGTAATGTCATCTTCAAGGCTTACTGCCTATATCTGCTAACCTAGGCCTAGTCCTGGAAGCGTCTGACCTACAATCTAATCTAGGCCTAGAATGTTTTCAGCTTTTGCTGAATAAGCTCACCCTTTCTAGCTCATTCTAAATTCTTGTTGGCTAGTCAACTTAGCTGTTTTGGCTCAAAATTGCTCTCCATGCTAACTGATTCAAACTGGCTTTTTCGACTTCTGACTGAATTGCTCTACATGGCCTCTAACTCTAAGAATCTGTTCTCATCTTCCAACTCCTAATTCTCTGGCTCGTTCTATCTTCACCTGTGTCTAGCTTGTTCCCTTATCTCTGTAAAACTCTCCCAGTTAAAAAAAAACTGCCTCTTTCTTCTCCCTCCCTCTCACTGCTTTCTTAAGTAGCGTCCCTTTCCTCTCTCTTCCTGTGAGAGTCAGACATAGCCTGCTTGGTCAAATCTTTCTTTGATTCTTTCTCATTTTGCCTGCCTCTCAATTAGACATCACTTTCAAATATGGGCACTTCCTTCTACAAATTAACTTTATCTTCATTGTTTGGGATTAAAGGTCCATACTAAGGGTGTGTCTGTATTCCAGCCAAAAGGAGTAAAGGCGTATGCTTAGGGCTGAGCCACACTACAACTAGAAACAGGTTTTTTCAATAAATAACACAATCTTGGAGTTCACAGTGTGATCCTGCAACAATTTGGTTTTACTCTGGGTTTGTAGCTGGTTTGGTGTTTGTGTCTCTCCTTTGATAGCAAGCATAGACCTTCCTGTGCCAGAGACTCTGGTACTGAGGGGTGAAGGCTCCAGGCACCAGTTCTACATCTCAATGAATTATGTAGGTGTTGTCTCCAGCAATATAGCTGGCAAGGCATTCATAATACTTCAGTACTCTTTGATCTGTCTGGAATGACTTCATTTTCTCTAATTTGTCTTTTAGGACCATTCAAACATTTCTGCATTTAAAAGACTTTTCTAATACTATTCTCGGAGTTGATAGTATTCCTTGTGTCACCCTCCAAACCCTATCTTCAGTTTGTCATTTCTCTTCTATTTTTCTGTCTAATCAAGAACCACATTGTGTTCTTAATATTTTTTTTAATAAAAGGGAGATAGTAAGAATAACAGAAAGGAAGGAGAAAGAAAAAAGAAAGGAAATAGGTGAAATGATCCACTAGAAAATGTATAAAATGACTAGCCATCTTAATCTATTACCCCCTTCACTAGACTGTTAATGCTGCCAGTAGTAATGACTTAAAATTATGAAAAGTAACTCAGAAGACAGATTGCCACATTTGCTCTCCTAAGGAAGACTACATTTAATCTGTTAGCTGCTAACTCTTCAAGTGCTAAAATAGACAATTTCCAAGTTCATGCTACAATATACTTATGTTACTCTTTTATGCTTTTTAAGTATTAATGCATCCTTTATAAAGAGTGTTTGCTTTTTCTTCATTTCTCCAGCCCACTCCAAAGACAGAACATAAGTCTGGCCACAGTTGTAGAAGCAATCTCTACTCAGCAGGGCTTGGTTTCCATGCTATCTCAAGACAATTTCTAATGAAGAGAAAAAATTTCCTTGATAATGTTACACTTTGGTGATACTGTGTATTCTTACAATATAATCCAAAAATATCCTACCTATTTAATGGTTACTTGGTGATGAAACCTTACAACTACTAAACTGGTTGCTCTTTGCTTTATAGCTACACCAGATCAAAGTGAACTGCAATATATCTCACTTCATATTTTTTCCAAAGTTTCCACATATTTCAACTACTTCAATCATTTTTTAGTTGGGGTTTTAGTTGGAGAAACAGAATCAATATACATTTAACGGATATTTGCTCAGATGGGCTATAACTCAAGGAGCCAGGTAGTCCAGCAGTTACTGTCTATAAGCTAGTTAGGCTGCAGATCTTGCAGCTACTTGTAATCCACAAGGCCTGGTGTCTCAGCTGTTCCTGTGTGGTACAGGAAGGCTAGAAGAGTCATAGAGAGCCATTAGTCCTCAGTCTATGAAAGGCCAAGCTAAGCTCTCATGTTAATAAAGGAGGACAACAGTAGTGGACATAGATACACTCACCAGTCAGAAGAGAAGGCTGGTAAGCAGTGCTGAATTTTCTCCCTTGGATCTCTTTGTATCATGGGAGACTACCACCCACTGGAGAGGATGAGGGGGAACTCTTCTTCCCTTTGTACATCCTGGAGTTGCCCTCACTGACCTACCCAGAAGCATGCTTCTTAGCTGGCTCCAGGTCTCCTCAGGCTGGCAGGACTAACCACCATACTCTAGTTTTTATTGTTTCTAGTTTCCACCTCAACATTCAACTATGTTCTTCAAAGGAGAACATAAAAACTCAGCAAACTCAGAAATCCCTAACCAATTATGTATGGAATAAAAAAAAAAAAAAGAGGTTGAAGTTATGAGTGCAGATCTGGGAGGAGTTAGGGAAGCCAGGAGGGGGAACATGATCAGAATACATTCTGTGTATGTATAAAATTCTCAAAATATTTTTTAAAATTCAAAAATTGTACATATGCTAGAGAAGAGAGATGAGGTAATTCAAGAGTTTTTCAAGAGGCTGATAACCTGTTCTCTTTATTCTGAATGCAGAATAAATTTTTGTTACAGTAAAAATAGTTTATAATTTGTCAATTTATCTGTGGAATTCTTGTTTATAAAGTTGACATTTCATAACTGAGTCAGTGGCATAAAATCTTTTCATGTATGCTAAGCCTGTTTTCTGTCCAGTGTGTTTTGTTTATAGCATATGCACTCCAAAAAAGAATTGAAAATAAAGAGACAAAGGGCTAGAAAGATGGTTTAGTGGTTTAAAAGCATTGGCTGTTCTTGCAGAGGACCTAAATTCAGTTGCTAGCACTCATAACTATCAGTAACTCAACTACCTGGGATTCTGACACTGTCTTCTGGCCTTCACAAGCACACATGTAGGCAAGCACCTATAAACATAACAAAATTCTTTAAAGTAAATAAAGGGACAGGATATCATAATTCATAATGTACAACAACTATAGGTTTTTGTTATTGTTTGGTTTATGTTTTTTAATTCCAACTCATCTGAGCTTGGTGTCACATGCCTATAATCCCAGCACTCAGGAGGCAGAAGCAGGTGGATCTCTGGAGTTCAAGGCCAGCTTGGTTATATAATGAGATTCTGAATCAAAAAATGAAAAACAAGTTTCTTACTCAGTTCCTATATATAATTGGCAACACTACAACCTCTAACTAGGATCGTCCCTGGCAGTTTAATTCGTACGTGCCTATTACAATGATTCTTTAAGAACCTGGACATTCACAGAATGCAGAGTGGGAAAGAAGGGGATTATTTTTGGCTCAGACAGTTTATGTTGAAGAGGCCATGTTTTTTTTTTTTTCCAACTATTAGAAATTTGAATGTGACTCTAGTTTTTCTCATATTTTATTAACTAACCACTTGAAATTAATAATACATCCTAATGCTGTGTAAGATAATTGTTACAAAGCAGATCACACAGATTACACAGTGCACTGGTAACTAAGTTAGTTCTCTCAGATGCTCAGCTGACGTTAACATTAGGAAAAGCAGATCCTTCCTTTGGCTTTAAAGAGACCTGGGCTGTGCACTTGAAATGGCAAAAGTCCAAGGCTGGGTTCTTTGAGAAGTAGGTCAGGACATAATAAATAATGATGTATAAAAGTAAAAAAATGTACCGGGCAGTGGTGGTGCACGCCTTTAATCCCAGCAGAGGGAGGCAGAGGCAGGCGGATTTCTGAGTTCGAGGTCAGCCTGGTCTACAGAGTAAGTTCCAGGACAGACAGGGCTACACAGAGAAACCCTGTCTCGAAAAACCAAAGAAAAAAAAGTAAAAAATGTAACAATTGGTGCTGCTTGGATTGGATTTAAAGGATTACGTGAGTGTCATACCAGCTTTATCAAGCATCTTAAGAGAAATATAACCAGTGGTTTATTATAACTTGTGTTTTTACTTTACTCTATATTTGTATGTATATCTATGTATAGGTATGTGCACATGAGTGCAAGTGCCCAAGGGGACCAGAGGCATTAGATTCTCTGGGACTGGAGTTGCAGGCAGTGGTGACCTTGATGTGCATGCTGATAATGGAACTCAGGTCTTCTACGAAAACAATATATTTAACCCTCAAGCCATCGCTCCAGCCTTCTAATAACTATTGGTTTTATGTCTTCTATTAAGATAAACGCTTTTTAGTTTAATGTTAGTTTTCTGTTGGTTGACTTTTTGTTCTTTGTATGTTTTATTTATTGGGTTTTTTCAGACAGGCTTCCTCTACGGAGCCCCAGCTGGCCTAAAACTCTATTTAGACCAGGCTGGCCTCAAACTTACAGCAATCCACCTGCCTCTGCCTCCTGCATGCTGGAATTAAAGGCATGCACAACCACACCCAGCTAAGGTCACCTTTTGTTCTATATCCTAATTACCTTCTAAGATACACCTGGCAAATAAAGAAGCTACTCATACTGTGTTTTGTTCTCTGAAAAAATGAGCCCTCAGCTTTCTAACTCTCAAATATTAGTTTAATAAGGTACATTCACCACTGATTACTTTTTTCTTTATTTACAGAGCTTCCGTATGGCTGGGAGAAAATAGAGGACCCTCAGTATGGGACATACTATGTTGAGTAAGTTTGTTATTTGAGTTAATAGTTTCCCAGTATTTTCCTTTTCTATACAGCTCTAGTGAATTCTAAATATGGCACTTTATGTTTCTGTGACCTGATTTGCTGGCTATTTTAACTAGAGGAAGGAACATTTTTTTTGCACTGACTTTTAGCTTTCCAGAAGTTGTCTCTGTGTTTCTCAATACAGAACATGAGAAGCCAGAGTGGTAGCACATGCCTGTCCTCCCAGTACTCCAGAGGTGAAGAAGGAGATTGAGTCAGAGTTTCAAGATGAGCCTAAGAATGTAGAAAGACCCATCTCAAAGGGAAGCAGAGAAGGGAAAAGATTTAATCCAAGAACTTTCAGCTTGAATATTGTAAACAGGACTAGATAAAGTCAACCATAGGTCAAAAAGCTGAGCAAGCAACCAGTTGAGAGGAAGTGAACATAGTATTATTAAGATAAAAAAAAAACCATAGAGAGTATAGGGATTTAGGAGGATGGACAGACAGGAAGTGGAAGGGAGGGACATTCCATTTGAAGGATGTTTTCTGAGACCATGTGAGAGAGGAGATTCATTAAGGGGCGTGTGCTGAGGAAGAAGGTAAGCTGGGTGCTTTCTCTGCCTCTCTGAGCTAGCAGGCCTTCACCCCAGCATCTGGGTCCTGAGTCTTTATTGGTAAAATCAAACAATTGAGATTTTGTTAGGGGAAAAAAAAATCAGCCTTATTTAACTAATTCTTGAGAGTTGGAAAGCTGAGGGCAGGTTTTTCAGAGAACACAGCTAAAGTTCAATGGCTTCTTTATCAGTCAAGTGTATCTCAGTAGGTAATTAGGGTACAAGAATAAGAGCTGATATTAACAACAACGCAAAAGCAAAATGATACTATTACCTGGAAAAATAGGAAGTTAAAAAAAACCTTCTAATTTTATGATTAATTGTCAGTACTAGTAGTTAGTAGTTATAAACCAATGCCATTTCCTGGTAGTTATCCCTAAAGTCAGTATCTGTGACCCCCATTGTGGTCTGTAAGTAATATGTAGATTGTTACTGCATCTCTGAGATGCTTGAAGTGCCCAGTTGGTGGGAATTTTGAGGGTGGGGAGATGGCAGTAGGGGGGGGTAGATAGAGGTTACATCCACAGAGAAGAAGGAGGAGGGGTGAGGGGATTGGGGGTTCCTGGGTGGGTGGGGGATGGGGTAAGGGGACAACATAGGAAATGTAAATAAAACATCCAATAATAAAAAAAAAAAGACAAAAAAAAGCCACTGTGTATCCTAAAGAGCTCAGAGTTATCTGTGGATATATAATGTACTGCATCACTTCCAATGTTTTGCTTCCTTTGAAAATCTTTACTAATTTTGTTTGTATTGTGTTATTTAATACATTGCTAATTGTAGTATGATATGCAAAGTACTCAGCAGCTCTTCTGGTATTTTTATTTTCCCTGAGGCATGTGTAGTTAAAGGAAGAAACTTGTTTTGCTGTTGTTTTTCAAGTCAGAGCAGATTTGGAAGCTGACTGAAAGGGCTGTGTGGGATTTTTCTTCCTCTTGCAGTTTAGCCTGTTTAAATTGGGCTTCAATCAACTATTATCTGCCAGGGACACTGCTGAACATTTCTGAGACAATGATTCTCATTATTTCCCATTCCAAGTGAATTTGAATACAGGGTCAAGAGGTGAAAGTCATTTGTCTGTTGTAAAGTCTCTAGCTGGATGACCTGGTTCCCATTAAGCAAGGCACTGAAGCAGCTTTAGGCACACCCTAAAGTGACCCACTCCACGTTGTCATGGAGGTGTGAAACCAGCTGAGGTATAAGTAAGTGACGGGCGCTCTCAGCCGCTCTCAGAACGAACTCATTTACAGGAGGATAATTCATTAGCTTTAGAAGAACAGACTGTACTCAAGATGCACATTAGTGTGGAGTCAGCTGTGCTACAGACAGTGTAGCTTCAGTCCCAGATTAACTGGGTTTTGAATTTCAGCTGTGGTAATCTGCAGTGAGTTTACTGGTGGAGATAAAGAGCTGTTACTTGAATGGCTATTCTTCGGCTCTCTTAGACTGTCAGACCAGGTGGCACCATGATTGCTTTTGGCAGGAATCTTGAAGTAGTAACACGAGCTACGGTGGCGGTTTTTCATCTTTCTTTTTCTTTTCTTTCTTTCTCTCTTTCTCTCTTCCTTCCTTCCTTCCTTCCTTCCTTCCTTCCTTCCTTCCTTCTTTTCTTTCTTTCTTTCTTTCTTTCTTTCTTTCTTTCTTTCTTTCTTTCTTTCTTTCTTTCTTTTGTGAGTATTTATTTTAGAAGATGAGATTCTGAAATGGATCTTTTTAAAAAGAAAGTTGTTCTAAAATTTAATGGCAGGCCTTCTATAGAAATATTTCATTTTAAAAATGGGGCGCAGGGCATGCTACAGCATGCTTAAAAGGTTAGACAACAACTCAGAGTAGACTATTCTCTTCTTCCACCATGTTAGTCCCTGAGATCGGTGGCATTGTAATATCTTTAGGCAACAATCAAAAGATATATCTTAGTATTCTTCATGAATTTGTTGAAATGAATTTTTGAAATCTAGGAATTAAACACAAAATTGTAATGGAGATAACATTGCAAATTATGTATTAGGTATTTAGTCATGCTTATCTAGCTGCCTTCCCAACTTTTTACTGACAATCTGTAACATTCTCCTCCCATACTCATGAAGTTCTTTGCTTAGAGAGTGTCCTTACTCCATGGTTAGACAAAGAAATCTATTCATCTTAATATGTACTCATAAATAACAAAGCGAAGAGCACGTCACTGGTTGTTCTCTATGGAGGGCGGCTTTTTAATATCGTCTAATGTAGTAGACGCAATGGATCCCTCCACTAAATCTTACATTCCTTTATCTAAGAACTTCCACTTGCATGTTTCTACTCTCTTCTTGCACACTTCACAAAGGATAGAAATACAAATCACTATTTTGTTATTCTAAACCCAGTATGGCAAAATGAGTCATTCTAGCTAATGATATAAAAAAGCATCCAGAGTTCTCCCCTGCACAGGGTTATTTCCTTCTAGGTACTAATCGTTAGGGGGTTTTCCTAAGAATGCTAAGATTTTCATCTGTTAAAGTTAAGATGTACTGGAGTAGAGCTGGAGCAATGGTTCGTGAGTTGAGAGCATGAACTGCTCTTCCAGATGACGCTAGTGGGGTCACAGCTACCTGTAACCCAGCTCCATAAGATCCAGTGCTCTCTCCTGACCTCTGAGGGCACCAGCACACAAGTGACGCATCCTAGACACATAAAGTCCAAAGGACAAAGAATGGTAGCATCTTTTGCTATAGTAGTTGCTTGTTTTATTATGTTTCTCCTTTCCTTATTTTTGCCATTAATAGCACATGAAGCAGAGGAAGCATTATTTGTTTCCCTGTTTATATGGATATAGATTGTATAATAATTGATCTATATAAAGATAATCATATCCTGAAATTCTTGTGATTTGATGTTTAATTGTTGGTGGTTTGATGTTTAATTGTTGGTGTTCAGTAATTTCATTTCTTGTTAAAGCAGGTTTTAGTGGAAAACATCATTTGGCTACAATATCTTTGCACTATTACATGGTAGGATATGATCATGTAGCCTCTGACTTATGCCTCATCATGGTTTAAAACATCATTTTTAGTTTTTATTCTTTTGCCACAACACAATTCTTAAGTTACTGTCACTTAAGTGGCTTACCGTAATATCAGTGCTACATTCCCTGTGTAACGTGTAGATTACTGAAGACTTAGATAATCACTTGCCCCAAGGCTCTCTTCATTTTTCTGCTTTCCTCCAGAGTTCTAAGCTTTCGAAGAGTCAGTTGTGAATGTACTCAGTCACAAAGGCCCGCTAAATTTATGTTATATTTATTTAAATGATTTGTTATGCAATTGTGAAGAAATTAAAGTATAAAACCAGAGTTGTTCTATAATATTAGAAAAAAGTCATTTTCTTCAGTGGTGCTGAATTTACGTGGGCAAATCTGTAGAAAGGGAATAAAGTAATGTACTGAGGTAATGCTCTAGAGACTACATTCTGATATTCTCAAGAGTAGCTTGATAGTTTGATTTATTTTGAAGAGAGTTACAGATTCTTCTGTTGTTAATTGCCTTAAAAAAGGTTAGCTGGCCCGTACTTGTGATTGCCGCAGGAAGAAATTTCTGCTGTAGTTTCGTAAACTGTTGTTCCATTACTGGGTTTGTGGAGAAGTACTGATATAAGCTTCAGCATCTTTGACCTCTAGTCATCTTCTGGTCTTCCTGCTATCTCTCTCAGCCTTTCTGTGCTCCATTCCTAAAGAAACATACTCCTTAGCCTTCATGGTAGAGTAGCACAATGTTTTACTTAGGAAAATAAATAGAACTCTTTCATCTAAATCTGAACTGCACATTTCTCTCTATTTTACAGTCACCTCAACCAGAAAACCCAGTTTGAAAATCCAGTGGAGGAAGCCAAAAGGAAAAAGCAGATAGGACAGGCTGAAATTCATTCCCCAAAAACAGGTAGAACTTCTTATTTGTTCATTTTAGTAAACTGTGAAATATTTATGTTGAGTTAATGAAAATGAATTTGAACCTTATATTGCTAAATCTTTAAAGTTCAACAAAGAATGTGTTGCCCCTGTAAAAGATACAAATAATCTTTTTTACAAAATAATGTGAGCATTGTGAGACTACTAAGATGCTTGTCATGACTAAATAAAAAATATGAAATTGTATGAATTTAATGTTTGATTTTAAAGACTAAGTTGTTTCTTTGTGTTTGAAGCAGGCTCAGTATTAGCTCTATAATTCATTATAGCTTCTGAGCTAACTACTTAAGTCAAATATGTAGATTTAATCTTCAAGATTCTCCAACAACCAATAGTAATCAGTGCTAAGTAAATCTACCAGACTATTGCCCTATTTCATTGGGCAATAATAGACAAGCTCCCTTGTCTCCTTCCTTTCTTTTTATGTGTCATTGTAGCCAAGCAGCTCTGCTTATGTTGTAAAATACAGTATGACCCACTTCTTTTGCCTGTGAGAAATATAATTCTTTCTTCTAGTTTCTCTTCAAAGCATAGATACCGTCCTTAAACTTTACATGTAGTTTAGCAGACATATTCAGTTTAAAAGATATTTGTGAGCATTTCTCAAACATCTCATGCTTTACTAGTCACTATATGTTTAAAAATGTTTGAGATTAAGTCAGTTTTTATCCCCAGGAATTCATAGTCTGGTAGATAATGGTCATGCTATGTAGTAAGAAGTGTCATTTAGAATAGTCGTTAAATGTGCTGGCTAAAGAGCAGGTGTGAATCTCACTATGGAACTTTGGTTAAGTTTCCTAAAATCTCTATGCCTCTGTATATTATATTATTTTCATCTATAAATAAGAGTGATACCCTCCTCTGGAGATACCTTCCTCAGGACATTGAAGATATCTCAGGAAGAGAATACTTTTTTTAATGTGTATATAAGTAGATATAAAGTGCTTATAGTAGGAATTGTTATGTGGTGATCAATAAGTGATAATTTTCATCATGATAAATGAGTATAGAGTCACCTTTTATCTGATGAGAGTACGTTCCAAGAGTACTAGGAGATGCCTAAAACTGTATAGAGCATTAAACCTTACATAAACTGTTTCCTGTGTATATATACCTCTGGTAAATTTAACCTTTTAAAAAGACAGTTTTACATTTTATGCGCATGTATGTCTGTGCAGCACATATGTTCAGTGCCCACAGTGGTCAGAAGAGGGTGTTGAGTCCTCTAGACCTGGAGTTACAGACATTGTGAGCCACCAAGTGAGTGCTGGCAATTAAACCCAGGTCCTCTGCAAGACACCTACCTAGTGCTCTTAACCACCGAGCCATCTCTCTCTAGCCCCTAACCTTTTCACCTAATGAAAACTCGTTACAATTTCTGTTTGATATTTCAGAATCATACTACTCTTGTGCCTTGTTGTTATCTTTAAGTAAAACAAGGATTACTTGGACATAGGTACTATGATGCCACAAGAGTTGATCTGAAAACCAAATGGCTACTGAGCAGCTGCCAAATGGTAGTATATACAGCATATATACTACAGCATATATAGAGAGAGAGACACCTGGATTAAAGGACAATTTGTGTACCAGACAAAATGAGCCAAGATAGCACAAGATTTAACCACACCTCTCAGAGCAGGATATAGTGTAAACTTTATAGTTTATTTCCATTTAATATCTTCAGAATTCATCTGACTAAATAACTGAAACTACAAAAAGCAAAGCTGAATGGAGGGAGGCAACTGTAGTCCAGTCTGATGAGGGAAAGCACAGAGATGGCAGGGAAGCAGAGAGAAAGTGGGTGACAGGAAATCTTACAAAGATACTATTGACTTCCCTCACTGCCCCCAAAGATTTAGTTTAACTTAAATTCTAACTGCTCTGTACCTTCAGAGTTTCTGAGATCTCCTTTCCTTTATGGTTTTTATTGTTATTATTTTTACTTAAGTTATACAAATATATTGAAGATTGACTGTATACATTTTATTCAGTGTAATTTTTATTTTTAAATCTGATTCTTATTTTGACCCAGATGTGGAAAGAGCACACTTTACTCGGGACCCCTCCCAACTTAAAGGTGTCCTTGTTCGAGCATCACTGAAAAAAAGCACAATGGGCTTTGGTTTTACCATTATTGGTGGAGATAGGCCTGATGAATTTCTGCAAGTAAAAAATGTGCTCAAAGATGGTCCTGCCGCTCAGGATGGGAAAATTGCACCAGGTAAAATGGTTGTCAGAATTACTAGAAGAAGAGTGGTGATACACTAACAAAATTAGAGCAAAGAGGGATGTGTGTGTGTGTGTGTGTGTATGTGTGTATGAGAGAGAAACAGAGACAGAGAAAATATATATCATTGAAGCTTCAGGTTCCTGTATTAAAATAGTTTGTCCCCAAATTAAATACATTGCTAGTTTGAAGGCTGACTGTTTTTATAATAAGAAACTGTTAGAGAAAACATATTTTTATTAACATTTGGTTTTGTATAATTTTTAGATAATTCTTTGGTTATAAGAAATGGTATTTGAGCCAGGCAGTGGTGGCGCACGCCCTTAATCCCAGCAGAGGGAGGCAGAGGCAGGTGGATTTCTGAGTTCGAGGCCAGCCTGGTCTATAGAGTGAGTTCCAGGACAGCCAGGGCTACGCAGAGAAACCCTGTCTCGAAAACCAAAAAAAAAAAAAAAGATATTTGATAATCATCTTAGAAGATTATTTGATTGTTTGATATAGAGTACTTTAAAAGAATTTTTGTATGTATATGGATATTTTGCCTGTATATATGTATGTGCTTGAGATGCAAAGAAGCCAGATAAGGGGCAATAGATCTCCTGAGAGTGGAGTTAGGAATGGCTGTGAGCTGCCATGTGGATGCTGGGAATTCAACCCAGGTCCTTTGGAAGAGCAGCCAGTACTCTTAAAGGCTGAGCCATCTCTCCAGCCCCAACTATGTAACATTTTTTTTTAACACCATGTCCGCTGGATTTTTGAAGTCTCAGTGCTATAAGAACAAATTAAAACATCTTTATTTGTCAGTAACCTTTTAAATAATTACATGAAATAAAAGCAAATAGATGAGATAATGAAATTTTATTTTATTTTGTTGTTGGATAACTAATTTCAAAAGTCAAGGTACTGCTTAAAAAGATTGCCAACTGTTGAAAAATCTATGGATGATTATATAGAATGAGCATAATATTATAAGAAGACAAAATTAAATCTTATAAGAATTAATCTCACCTTCCAGTATCTTAAAAATACAATCATTGCTTGTCTTGATTTTGTTTTTGCTGCTGCTTTTGCTATTTGAAATCAAACTAAAATAATAATAATCTACAGAAAAAAATCCTAAAATAGGTGATAAGCTAGTGTCATTCTAATCTTCTTTTTAAAAAAATTAGAATGAATTTAAGAGTCATTTGAAAATAACATGTTTATACTAGTAGCCAGTAGAGTTATTTTCTCGCGTGTGCTAAATACCCACACTTTCCTGAGTTTTGAACAGCCACTTTGTAAATGACTCAGAAAGTACACTAACAATTACAATAAAACTTGGAGGATTTTTAAATGATAGACTTGAATTTTGAGATTATTACACTTTGATGTTAAGATAATTAGTAATTTGACATTTAGGAGATGTCTCAGTGTTTAAAAGCACTTGGCTGACCTTTCAGGGAGCCCAGGTTGCTCACTTCCCAGTAGCTGACAATTGTATGTAACTCCAGCTTCAGGGAACCCAACACCCTCTCCTGTCTTCTGTCTCTACTGCACACATGTGATATATACATTGACACAGACACACACTCAGAACAAGTAAATGAGAATATTAAAACAAATCTGTTTTAAAATGTATTTATTTTATGTATATGAGTATACTGCCTTATTTTTTATTAATCATTTTATTTGTTTACATTTCAAATGATATCCCTTTCCCGGTTACCCCTCCACAACCCCCTCCCATCCAGTCCCCCTCTTCCCCTTCCCCCACGGCTCCACAAGGGTGCTCCTCTACCCATTCACCCACTTCTGCCTCACCCCTCTAGCATTCCCCTTTGCTGGGGCATCAAGTCTCCACAGGACCAAGGGCCTCTCCTCCCACTGATGCCAGTTAAGGCCATCCTCTGTACAAATGCAACTGGAGCCAGGGGTTCCTCTGTGTGTACTCTTTGGTTGGTGGTTTAGTCTCTGGGAGCTCTGGGTGGTCTGGTTAGTTGATATTGTTCTTCCTATGGGGTTTCAATCCCCTTCAGCTCCTTCAAGTCCTTCCCCTAGCTCTTCCCTTGGGGTCTCATCCTGCATCTGTATTGGTCAAGTGTTGGTAGAGCCTCTCAGAAGACAGCCATACCAAGCTTCTGTGTGGAAGTACATCTTGCATCAGCAATAGTCTCAGGATTTTGTGTCTGCAGATGGTATGACCACCCTGAATGCATCTCACCTTTTTTTTTTTAAGTTAATTTTTGAGTGCTCTATTGCATGTACACCTGTACACCAGAAAAGGGCATCAGATCACTTTATAGTTGGTCGTGAGTCACCATGTAGGTACTGGGAATTGAACTGAGGACTTCTGGAGTCCAGCTAGTGCTCTTAACTTCTTAGCCATCTCTCCAGGCCCTAAAAATAAATCTTAAAAGATGCAGATATTTGTATATATTCTTTTTAGAGCTCAGTCATAACATTGGACATATATGTATTGCAAATCTCTTTTCAACACGTAAGAACAATTAGAGAGTTTTGGAATTCAAATGTAGTTTCAGAGTTTGTTTTTGCCCTTTCCCTCAACAAAAAGATTAACTTGTTTGGTGGTTTTAATATTTTAACATGATTATATTTTATCAGGTGATGTTATTGTAGACATCAATGGCAACTGTGTCCTTGGTCACACCCATGCAGATGTTGTCCAGATGTTTCAGCTGGTACCTGTCAACCAGTATGTCAACCTTACTTTATGCCGTGGTTATCCACTTCCTGATGACAGTGAAGATCCTGTTGTGGACATTGTTGCTGCTACCCCTGTCATCAATGGACAATCTTTAACAAAGGGAGAGACATGCATGAATACTCAGGACTTTAAACTGGGAACAATGGTTTTGGATCAGAATGGAAAATCAGGACAAATCTTGGCCAGTGATCGTCTCAATGGTCCATCAGATTCAAGTGAACAGAGAGCATCCCTGGCATCATCAGGCAGCTCCCAGCCTGAACTAGTGACTATCCCCCTGATTAAGGGCCCCAAAGGCTTTGGGTTTGCAATTGCTGACAGCCCAACTGGACAGAAGGTGAAAATGATATTGGATAGCCAGTGGTGTCAAGGCCTTCAAAAAGGGGATATCATCAAAGAAATTTACCATCAGAATGTGCAGAATTTAACACATCTCCAAGTCGTAGAAGTCCTAAAGCAGTTCCCAGTAGGTGCAGATGTTCCATTGCTTATCTTAAGAGGAGGTGAGTAACACCCCAGGAGGATTCTTATTACAAGCATCACCTGCTCTTCCAGGTCAGACAGATTTCCCTGTGCATTGTCCTGTGGCTCCGTCTGCGTGTTTCAGCAGCGGTATATTTTTTAGCTCTGTGTTGATTATTGATGGTTTCATTCATGTCCATTATGAATATAATTTCTTTCTCATGATAGTCTTTTTAAAATTTGATATATAATTTTAATGACTAGAGAAAGTCATGGTACTATGCTATATCAAATAAAATACATCCTCTTAATTTCACTCTCTCTGTTGATAACAATAGTAGAAATTGACTTTTTAGCCTGTGGTGTTTCATTGGGAACTCTGTACTACACTAGAGAATTGAAATGCTAACATTTTTGTGTATGAGTAAAACACCAGGGAAGTGTTAACCTGGTGTTAACCATATCTTAAGTTCTATGATCTGTCTGTGTTATTTAAATCTCACAGTGCTTATGTGAAAAAAAATGTGAAATTTTTAATTTTTCAAGGTTTTCAACTGACATGAACTTTTCCTAGACATTATGAATCTAATTTTAAAGACTAACTACAAAGTTGTATTTCAGTAGGCTTTCTTAAGTCCATGCCATTGAATGACTAGTGTTTAGGCTTTCTTTCTTATCACCCTGACTCTAAGTTTTTATATTTGAGATACAACATTACTTTACATCTTAGGAGAAGTTTTCATTATTCTCATTTCTTTGACCCCTTTTGGTGTTTTTCCAAGTGATATAGTACAATATTCTCAGAGCCAGCTTAGAACGCATCTTTGTGATAGGGCTAACAAGGTGGTTCAGTGGGGTTCAGATACTGGCAAGCCAGACAACCCATGCATGCCTATAAGCCTAGCTCAGAAGGGGATGGAGAAGGAAGGATCATGAGGGCTTACTGACCTCCAGCCTACCTGAGAAAATGTGAGCCTCTGGTTCAGGTAGAGACCCTGCCTCTGCCTCAAGGGGACAGGGCAAGAGCAGTAGAGGAAGACATCCAGGAACCTCTTCTGACCTCCATGTGTACACATTACTAACCATCCTGTCTTCCATATCATAAAGTGGATAATTGAAAACCTTTGTAAACATCCTTCTAGTTTGTTTCAGAGGAACTGGAAGAAGTAGCTAAAGCAGATGGCAAGCTACAGTACACACATACATGCACAGACAGACACGCACACTCACACACATACATGTACACACTCACACCTGCACACATAATACACACACTCAAAATAAATAATCAAACACATAAACAGATCTTTAGAGGAAATATCTTTCTGAGTGCTTGAGAGTTTTCTAACAAATATAATACAGGGCCATTGTTTGATATTAGATGTGTTAATGTCAGTTTTCTGCCTCCTGCTTACTATTTCTGTGATTTAAGGAACCTCAACTATTAAATGGTTCTAGCATTTATGCCTCAGGAATATTGTGAAGTTGAAGATAATAGATGTTTCATGCCTGACACATAGGTGATACTAGATAGAATTTAAGTTTCATCATAGACATTATTAATGTTTGGTCTAAGAACATTTTCTGTTTTTAAATTATGGTTTTGTTTTAATCTTAGGTCCTTGTTCACCAACTAAAACTGCCAAAATGGTGAGTACTATGGTGGTCCTCCAGTGCTTTTCTCACACCCTGAACGAGCTGCCTTCTTCCTTTCTGCAGAGCAGCTTCTTGCTATGAAAATGGCTGTGAGAAATCAGAGAGAGGCATATTGCCCTAGACTTAGATCAGAAACCCCAGATGTTGGTAGGAAACTCCCTTTGAAGGCTGTGCTAGACTGGTTAAGGCTGGCTACTGGAAGAACACTAGAGGCCCAGATTACCAATGGCCCTACTCTCAAGGTCGTAAACTGGGCAGTTGAAGAACCTGTGTAAACATCCTTTTAGTTTGTTACAGAGAAGCCAGGGAAGAAGTAGCTGACTATTAGGACAGATAGCAAGCCATCAGTACATCTTGCTGGTACCCAAGGAGACCACACACTAGTTGACCATAATTTCATCGAGATTGTAAATCCCCAGACTTAAATGATCCTGAATTTAAGCAAAATTTTCCAAAATAATTATTACCTTCTGAGCTAAACATTCTTGTATCAAGTGATAAGACGATTGGCTCTGAAACTGTGTCTTCTTTGTTATTCCTTTGAATAACTGAAAAGCCTACTTAAAGATCCATATGGAGAAAATGGACATTAAAATGACTGTGCCAAGTAGCACTATTATTTCGGAAGAAACTCTCCTAGGCGTAACATACATGTGTGGGTACTTACATGGATATAATGACAATTATACTTAAAACCTCAGCTTAGTTGATGATTGTCTTATTTGGAATAGAAAGCTGGTTTCTATGAAAAGCCTTAGGTTTTTAAAGGAAAGAACACAGAGTACTAAATAGGTTAATTCCTTCCAACACACTAAGTCTGCAAACATTTCTGTTGACTGGATCAGGGCATGCAGGGGTGAGACTTGGAATGGGGGTTCATTTAGGGTCTGCTTTGTTATGGTCTCTCTGTTCCATTAGGTTCAGCATGAGCAGAGGTTCTTTCTGTCCCGTCAGTCAAGATTGCACTGTACTTTCTGCATTCCTCTCCTGCCTCTTAGCAACCATTTTAGTTCTGTGTTTCATAGTAAGTTCCCTTGCATGGTGACACTGAAGACAATGATGGAAGGCTCTGGTGACCTTTATGGATGCTGACAGAATCCTAGAGCATGTGGGGGAAGGGGAGGTGACTGTCACCTTGCTGCCATCTCACTGAGTCTAGGTCAGTGAGGGGCTCTCTGTGATGCAGCGCTTGTCCCTGCATTCTAGTCAGCATTAGTAATTATATATGCCTGTGACGATTCCTCTCAACAAAAATCTAGGAGAGCAGAGCTGATCTCAAATGCTCATTTTAGGCTAGTTTTGAAGTTTGTATTTAAATTTGTTATTAAAGAACTCACTTCGGAGCCAGTGAAATGGCTCAGTGATTAAAGTTCTTGCTCTAGCAGCCTGACAACCTGAGTTAGATTGAAGAACCTACAGGGAGGAGAGAGCTGACCTCCTGACAGGAGTCCTCTGACCTCACTCTGTGCACTCACTCACACACCATAAATCATGAGGACAATGATGGTGAGGATGAATAAAATAAAGAAACAACTGCCTGACTGCTTTGGGAAAGTTATATTTGTATTTTGTTTTTTCTTTTCTGACTGACTGGCCAAAATGGATGTTTTCCTAGATGGATTTGCATTGATCAGTAGAGGTTTTGCCATACATCAGGAGGCATAACACTCCAAACCCAGTTTCTTTAAAGGAATATTATCTTAAACATTGTCACTGGGAATTAAAACTGCTGAGTGGGAGGTGGAACTTTCCCCTTGCTTTCTTTAGAAGCTATCTTGTATTTAATTATCTTCATCTCCAAGTCTTTTTGTGTCTTGGTGGTGAAAGGAAAGGATAAGACTGCTTAAACATAAACCAGAGCCCTTCAGTTGAATCATTATAAACTCTTAATAAGTTAAATATGTTTTAACCACACAGACATTGCTGTGTAAGTGAGTCTGTGGACATACAACCAGGCTTCTGTAACTTTGCCACCTATACAGTCTGCTTAGTTAACACCCACAACTTACACCATGGTTCTGCAAAATAGCCAGCCATCTTATTTTTAAAGTACTAAGTAAGGCCCTTTTATTTCCATTTTAGAAAACAGATACAAAGGAAAATTCAGGAAGTTTGGAGACTATAAATGAGCCTATTCCCCAGCCTATGCCTTTTCCGCCCAGCATAATCAGATCAGGATCCCCGAAATTGGATCCTTCTGAAGTCTACCTGAAATCTAAGACTTTGTATGAAGATAAACGTAAGTAGTTGTGAAATATTTCAGAGGAGTGTGTAATAAGATCAATTTGCATTATTTTAAAATTGGAACCCTCCCATCCTTTACAAACATATTGAGATATTATTCCTTCATTCCCATTCTAATGTGATTCTGAGCCTTTACTGAATGTGTTCAATATTCATTCCTTTTTATCAAAACCATGAATTAAGTACAAGCTGTCCACCAGATACCATGTTAGGTAAATTGGAATATAGAGAAAAATAATTAACTGCACCTAGAAATTTTTTTTATTCACTTTACATCCCTCTCACAATCCTTTCTCTCATCCCCCCTCCCTTCTCTTCTGAGCAGGTAGGGGTCCCCCTAGGTATCCCTCCACTCTGGCACATCAAGTCTCTGTGGGGCTAGGTACATCCTCTCCCAGTGAGGTCAGACAAGGCAGCCCAGCTAGAAGAACATATCTCACAGACAGACAGCATCTTTTGGGACAACCCCCAGTCCAGTTGTTCAGGACCCACGTGAAAACCAAGCTGCACATCTGCTACATAATGCATGTAGAAATTTTATTAAATCCAAATGGAACAGACAAATACATGATCGGATAAACATACATAGCACAAGCAGAGTGGTGCAGCAGAAGTGTGCTGGGCTCATAACCCAGGCGATGGGGATCAGAACAGGTACATATAACCTAGCAGGGACAGTGGTAGAAAGTTACACTGGATACTTTGGGATGCAGAGTAGGAAACAGCCATTTTATCAGCATGGAAGGTACATAGCATCAGACAGTGCTTTATACAGGAAACACATGTAAGCCTTCAAGGATGAGATGTTATGAAGAAGACAAAGGGAGGAGCCACTGTACACTGGCTTCCTTGGCCTGTGATCTGCAGTGTGGCTGCAGTGGGCAGGAAAGCCGGAGGAAGAGCGCAACAGATCGTGGACGGCAGAAAAGGAAGCTGAAACTGGGTGAATAAAAGAGAACCTCAGAGTACACTTGGCTGTAGGGAAGATCATGCTAGTTTTGTCTTATAAAGATGTTTCTGCCTGGAGGATGGAGGGTGATCAGTGTGGTATGTAAGAGAAAGCCACAGCAGACTTCTTAAAGGAGTCAACTGGGAAGAGAAGAAAAAGTATACAATTATGAAGTATCCCTTTACACTAATTTAGTTACTGATGATAAATCTTCTCCAAAGTAAAGTTTCAGGATTATTTAGGCTTGAGTTTTAAAAATTTGCTTGTTTCTAAGAAATAGAGAAGGGAGTAAGAACTGCAATTGGGATGTAAGGTGGATAAAAGAAATACATTACCGGGGAAATAGAGCTTTATCTGCATTGTAACAGGAATACACAAGTGGAAATAGTGTGTGTAACTGGCTTGATGTGTATGTAAGTAGTTGTACATCTTTATCTTGGTGCCTGCCTGCCATATTCAGAAAGGAGGGGAGAAAACCAGCTACAAGCCTAGCAAAGCAATAATTTAAACTATGTGTAGAACCTCTTTCTTCAGGCTGTCCATTCATTGTCTGATATATTCTTAATACTGGTATAAACTCTGCAGTGGCTTTGGGCCCACTATAAAACAAATGAGTTTGACTCAAGGATTCTCTTCCTTTTCTTTTTTAAAATTAGTTTATTATTACTGTATGTGTATATATGTGTGACGTGTATGAGTACATACATACCACAGACACATGTGGGTGTCAAGGTCAGAGAACAACTCTATGAAGTTGATTCTCTCCTTCACCTCTTCCACTTCTCCATGAGTCACAGCAAGGGACATACTAAGTCACCTTGTGAGTCTGACTCGTCTAATTCCAGGGCTTTATCTGCTGGGTTTTTGTGTGATGTAGTTGCTGCTGGTAGTTGGACGGACAACCTTGTTCCTCACTCGTGTTGGGCAGCGATTCACCACTTAGCAACCGCCTCTACAACCACCCTAAAGTTCTGGTTCTGGTAGGAAGTACCCACCCAAAGATACTGCTTCCAAAGAATTGCCAGGGAGTTACTCTATACCATGTTTTACTTGCTTTTTATGTAGTTTCTTGACAGTTTCTATATTTTTTCCTTCTTAGTAAATTCATCTTCCTTATGAATAAAGGTAATATTTTCCTAGAGACAGAATCTTAGACATAAAATAGGCTTTTATGAATAAATATTCTCAATGCATCGAGCTCCTTAGGGACAAGATTGTGGGGGTAGGCCTGGCATCTGGGGAGTCAAGCTGGGTTTAAATCTTAGTTCTACCAGTTATTGGAAGACAACAGGTGAGTTATTCAGGCCCTTAGTTTACCAACCTAGAAAATGGGATCATTAGGAGATACACACCCATTTCTCTCTTTTTTTAAAAAAAAAATACTAACATTTTACACATTTAGGTTAAGTAAATAGCTCATATTAAATAGTTTTTCTTAGACAAACCTATTTGCTTATGAGTAAAAATAAGGCATTTTATGGGCTCTCTTTTCATAGGATTTAAAGTACCCTGTTAAAATGTTTGTTAACTTAAATCATTTGCACTTTCAGTTGGCTAATTCTGAAGTTAATGTTGCAATATTGATTGGACAATATTAGAAGCTAGTGGCAGTGTAACACTGAGAGGCTGGAGTGGGGATGGTCATCTAATCTGCCTTGACAGAGTTTTGTTTAGCTTTTGAAACAGAAATTTCCATAAGCTCTCAACATGTATTTTCACATATCAGATGTTCTGGGATTATAGTTTTTGAATGCTCTATAATATTTTTCTATCAAATACTGGGCTTTATTTCAATGTTTTTAAAATAAATTAAATTCACATATTCTTATTTTCCTTAGCACCAAACACCAAAGATCTGGATGTCTTTCTTCGGAAACAAGAATCAGGGTTTGGCTTCAGGGTACTGGGAGGAGATGGACCTGACCAGTCTGTAAGTGCACACTGTGGGACAGTGATGGTCCTGGGGCTTTGGGTTGGGTTGGGTTGGGTTGGGTTGGGTTGGGTTGGGTTGGGTTGGGGGTTGGGTTTTTTGAGACAGTGTCACATTATGTGGCCTCTGGCCTGGAACTACCCGTGCAGACCAGGCTGGCCTCAGAGACACAGAGAGCATCCAGCCACTGCCTCTCTTTCTGGAATTAAATGTGTGACCATCACACCCAACTCACTGTTCTAGTTAATATTCTTGAATGGAGATTTAGTGGAATATAGGTTGTGTTTGTTACTTTTTATTACTGTGATAAGGTACCATGATCTAGGCAACTGAGAAAGAAGAATTGATTTGGCATGTAGTTCCCAAGGGAGAGTCTATAATGGCAGGAAGTCATGGAGCAGGTGGCCAGAGCAGGAAGCTGAGAGATCACATTTGCATTTACATGCAGGAAGCAGAGAGCAAACAGGAAGTGGGGCATGACTATAAATTCTCAAAATCCACTCCCAGTGATGCACTTCTTCTTACAAAGCTCCACAGGTACCATAACTTTCCTGAAAAGTGCCATCACTAGGGACCAAGTGTTCAGAGAGGGAGGCCGGGGGGAGACATGGCTCACCAGACCACTGCAGTGGCAGTTTTTGTTTTGTTTCCCTCCCCACTTAACTTTACTAAGTTTTTTTTCCTTTAATAAATAATCTTACTGATGTAAATACTATATTTCTAAGTCTGTCATTGTCTCTTAAATTAACATAGTGTGACATAACCTTAAAAACCATATATTAACAGATCTCTGAGTTCTAGCCCAGCCTGGTCTATAGAGCTAGTTCCAGGACATCCAAGCTATGCAGAGAAACTCGGCCTCAGAAAAACAAACAAACAAAAAAACCAAACAAACAAATCATATATTTAAAACTGAGCATTTAGCTCAAAACATCAATTAATTTTCTTCTGTTCTTTGTAAGTAAACAAAGCTTATTTGGAACTAGAATTGCAACTCAGTGATAGATCTGTATGTGTCTAGCAGGCATGGGGCTCTGATTTTGATTCCTAGTATCATAGAAAAAGCTTATTTGAACTAATTCTGTCTGCCTTTACTAGACAGAGTCTAAGGCATTTTCCTTATCTCAGAAGCCTGTAGTTCAGTGTCTGCTTTACACAATAGCTTGTCTTCAGACTGCTCCATAGAAAGCTGGCACAGGGCTTAACATTTTGCCTGTTGTTTTCTTGTTAGCTCTGGCATTAGCAAAATATAAAATAATTAAAATTCTAGAAGATGCAAGGGATATATTTATAAAGCATTTAAAGTCCAGAATTTTATGTGGATTAATTTAGAAAACAAACAGTGAGATTTGGTTTTACATTTTGCCTTAGTGTTGAATGTCAGAGAAGTAATACAATCTAGAGTTTAAGAACATGTGTATTTGTTACATATAATATAGAAGTCCTGCTTTGTTGCTCTTAGGAATTTAGTCCTTTAAATGTGAAAGGCTTCTATTTCTAAGTGCTGTATAATATTTGTAATAAAATAGCTTACAATGACATTGATCATTGGAAACTTAGAACTTAAGGCCCATTGCTGTCACAAAGCAAATGTCAGATACTTTGGTTTTGATAGCATAAGAATTTTTTATTGCTTTTTATTTTATCGATAGTCACTTAGACAATTTAAGAATTTATCTTCAATAACTTGTGAACAACCTTTCTCTTCTAAACATCAATGTTAGTAGTTGTAAAAGTACCCTAAAATTACAGGGTTCTAGAATCTGACATTAGGCTAGAACAAAGAAGTAATTTCAGGCAGGAATCTAAATCTTAGGCTAGAACAAGGAAGTAGGCTTCAGTTATGAAAAGGACTTTGGGCTAGGAGTGGGAAGTTGGCTCAGATACTTTGGTCATCCTGATAAAGCCCTTAGAAACAGTGTTCACGGAATTTTATTGCCTCGCTTGTTCTTTGATTACTTGTGTTTATTGTCTTGCTTGTTCCTTGACTATTTGCATCTATTGTATTGCTAGTTCTTCAACTTAGAACTGACCTTAATACTTGCATGTAATTAAAATGGTATAAAAGCAAAAAGGAGGAGGTGGGATGGGATAGGGGTTCTAGGGAGGGGAAATGGGGAAAGGGGATGACATCTGTATTGTAAATAAATAAAGTATCCAATAAAAAATTTTTTTAAAAAAATTACAGAGTTCTAATTGCTGGAGAACAGAATGAACTGGGTCCAGCAGGCACAGGGCTCTGACCCATACAATGACCCATAACCTCCATGTGTCCTCTGACATTTTAGGAACAAGAAATATTTTTTGTGTATATGGCCCAAACTTGTATTATTGACCGTGGTATATACGAGAGAATCATAAGAATGACCCTGGTGGCGTGAACAATGATGTGTAGAACATCCCCCTACCCCTCCACTCTGCTTTTAAGCATGTCTGTCTGTTTTGTCACACTGTAGTGGTGGAGAAGTTGGGGGTGCTTTTTAAGTTCTTAAGCAACTTTGTGTTTTCCTTGGACTCAACCCTGGCGATCTAGAATTACAGAACACAGTGTGGGTATTTGAAGTACCACTTTGGAGCAGATGTATTTTCTGAAATATCACCTTTCTGAAGTATGCCTTTTCATAGATTAGGTCTTTAACTCTAAAGTTGATCTTAGTGAACTGTATACCAATCTATACTGTACTATCTTACAGATATATATTGGGGCCATCATTCCCCTGGGAGCAGCTGAAAAGGACGGTAGGCTCCGTGCTGCTGATGAATTGATGTGTATTGATGGTATTCCTGTTAAAGGAAAATCACACAAGCAAGTCTTGGACTTAATGACCACTGCTGCTCGAAATGGCCATGTGTTACTAACTGTCAGGAGGAAGATCTTCTATGGAGGTATGTAAAGGACTTTCAGCACTAAAAATTAGGAATCCACTTGCTCTGGTTTTATGAGGTGTTCTACAATATTCAACAGTGTATATGCTGATACTTTTGGGATAATTCAAAGCAAATTGCAAAAAGCTTTGTAGTGTAAAAGATCCAGAAATAGATTTCCAAAGTAGAAATAAATTTTGGTCTGCTATATTAAGTTATATTATCATATTAATCAATTTTACCAATATATTACTGTAAATGGGAGTATCAGTTTAATTTTAAATAAATAAATAGTTATTTTATCATATTAAGATAGCCCCTACCTAAATATATCAAAAGGCTTGATTGTGATGAAATCCCAAATATTCATAGATAATAGGATGTTTCTCTTTAGAAAATTTCGGTATAGGGCCAGGAAAGATAACTTAGCCAGTAAGGTTCTTACCCTTACAGGCATGAGGACCTGTGTTTGTTCTATCTCCATAGCCCCATAAAAAGCCAGACATGGTGCCATGATTTATAATCCTATTGTTGGGGAGGCAGAGAGGGAAGATCCTAGGACTTGCTGGCAAGCTAGTCTGGGCTAGTTGGTGAGCTCCAGGCCAGTGGAAGACCCTGACATACAAAGTTGTCCTCCAGCCTCCATTTGTGCCCACACCAGTACATGTGCATGTGTACTAAAAAAGCAAGTGTTGGTATAATATAATCTAATATTGTTGGAGCTTATTATGTATCAGATGCATCAGTTATTTTCTTTGGACCCCCAGACTCTATAGTGTAATTATTATCATATACAGTCATTGACAGAAAGGTTCACAGGCAGTAGTAATAGGTCTAGGTTTAAAACTTTTAATTGCAGAGCCCACCATCTAAACCATGACAATCAAATATGTACAGATCTTGTAGTTTCTTATCGACACCTTTGTGAATACTGAATAGGATGATTTATTGAAAGCAGGGTAGCCCTGGCTAGCCTGGAACTCACTATGTAGACCAGGCTAGCCAACACAGAGATCTATCCCCCTCTGCCACCATGTCCTGCTGTAGAGGATTTTATAAGTGAATTCTTGCCGAGAGAGAGGGGAGGGAGTGTGTTTTGTAGCACAAGAAATTAAGCCTTATGAAGAGATGGAGCTATTTACTATCATCTCTCACTCTAGCACCTAGGAGAAAGTCTGCCTGACAAGTAGATATCAGTAAATGTTAATTAACTTGAGCACTAATATCACTTGCCTTCTTTTGGTATTGGGGATTGAACCTCATGCTGAACACGTGTTAAGTCCCTGGTCTGTCCCTGAGCTAGATTGCAGCAATGTGACAAAAGACCTGCCAGTGCAGCTTCATCTACGTCTTCATGCAGTTTTGCTTCTTCACATTGGTTGTGCTGAGTTAGTAAAAACCTGAAAAGTTTCACAAGGAACACGCCATGAAGTTTTCTAGTTAATTTGATATTATTAGAGACCTAGCTAATTAATTCCAATAGGAAAAGAATCCCTACCCTTGTTTGCTCAGTAATAACTGGATGTTGGTATATTATTATGTTTAGATTCTAAACCATGTTCTTTTTTTATTGGATATTTTATTTATTTACATTTCAGATGTCATCCCCTTTCCCCATTTCCCCTCTCTAGAAATACCCTACCCATTCCCCCTCCTCCTTTTTGCTTTTATACCATTTTAATTACATGCAAGTATTAAGGTCAGTTCTAAGTTGAGGAACTAGCAATACAGTAGTAGATGCAAATAGTCAAGGAACAAGCAAGACAATAAACACAAGTAGTCAAAGAACAAGCGAGGCAATAAAATTCCGTGTTTCTAAGGAATTATCAGGATGACCAAAGTATCTGAGCCAACTTCCCTCTCTAGCCCAGAGTCCTTTTCATAACTGAAGCTTACTTCCTTGTTCTAGCCTAAGATTTAGATTCCTGACTGAAATTAGTTCTTTGTTCTAGCCCAAGATTGAGATTTCTGCCTGAGATTACTTCTTTGTTCTAGCCTAAGATTTAGACTCCTGCCTAAAATTACTTCTTTGTTCTAGTCTAATGTCATATTCCTGCCAAGCAGCCCACTTCCTTGTCCTTGGCCCATGTCAGATTCTTGCTTAGCAGCCTCAAAAGCTCTTCACCTCTCCCCCTTTTTTATTTCATAAACAAGACTAAGCCTGTCCTAGGTCATTCTAACAAGAATGCCTTCCTTACCCATTATGGAATATGCATTATCATTCTGTCTTAGGTTGGTAAGGCTCTGTGCAGAATCTTACCCATTCTTGGCTTGCAAGCCTGTAACTCTGTGTGGGGGTCCATTTTCAGTTTCAAGCCATGTACTTTGGCTGCTAACATGTTGATGTTGTTAAAGACAAGCTTTAACAAGATGGGCAGGAATAAAAGTATTCCCAGGACAAAAGGGGCTAGCATGGTCAAGCTATATATGCCATTTTTGAAGCTTGACCAAAATAGAAATACTGACCTCAGGCCATGGGTAATTTTCTCAGCAGTATCTGCTATATCAATGCTCAGCAGAGCAGCATTCTTGAAATTCATAAGCTCACTATGCAAAATTAAAACATCCAGAGAGGTGTTAGATTTATGCCAAATATACTGCAAGTGTCTTTGAACTTTTTTCTAATTATAATGACTACCACTGTAAATTTTAGAAGTAACACAACTCCGTTGATATTTAGCATGACACTCGAGATGGCTCCTTACTCTTAAACTCTGAACCTCCTTCCAATAATTTGAATAGAATAAAGAACATCAATCCATTGTTCCAAATGCCTATCTAAATCCTCTTGTATATTCAACATATTAGTAAAATTTTTTGCTAAATGATTAACAAAAGTAGCTGTCTTAATTTCTTGTGTCAAAGTAATTGCAGAAGCAAGCAGTGGTATTCACAGTTAATGCAATTAAAGCTGTTATACCAGCAATAATCAAGCTGACTACCCTCTTGCTTCTACTTAAAGCCTGACACACTTCTTCCAGTACTTGAAAGCTTTTTTCAGAAGACCAAGGTTCTGTGATACTCAAGGCAATAAAACAAAAGCTGGTTATTAGACCTCTGTAACTGACATGCCAGGTTTCAACACACTAACACAATTAGAAAGTGTATAATCAATGCAACTTACATTAAATACTGTAGAAGAAACAAAAGTAATTTTAACTTGACAATTAAAAGAGCCTTAACACATGTACTAACACTTATTTGAAATCCAGATCCTGCCCCAACTTTATCTCTTGCTGACATAACATCACAGAGAACTGCAGGTAACTTCCAAATATGTCTCTGAAAATGTTCAGAACCAGCCTTCCAAATGAAGATTTTTATTTCCAATATTGGATTGATTTCTAGACCAGTACATGATTGAGTCCAAATAACTGGTCACAAAAATACAAGAGTTGTCCGGGCAGTGGTGGTGCATGCCTTTAATCCCAGCACTTGGGAGGCAGAGGCAGGCGGATTTCTGAGTTCGAGCCCAGCCTGGTCTACAGAGTGAGTTCCAGGACAGCCCGGGCTATAAAGAGAAACCCTGTCTCGAAAAAAAAGAAAGAAAAAAATACAAGAGTCATTATAACTTCTCTTTTTGATTCTCTGTTCCACGAGGTCTAAAAATTTGAGGCAAGGCAGCTTGTCCCATCAGGGGTATAGGTAAGCAAAGGTGGGTCGGGAACATATGTCCAATACAGCTTCCCAGTCACCATTGTCAGGGTACTCAGCAAGCTCACAGGTCAGCATCGTTCCTTTTCCTGGCATCAGCACATCCATCACTCTGGCGGCCATCATGCTCCTTCAGCATCCTGCAGAAAAAAACACAAACATGCCCTCTTCCCCATATTAGATACCTACGATCCTGGGCGTGTTAGAGCTCCTTGGAGTCTAGCCTCCTCTGGGTTTTGGAGGATTGGGTGTAGAGCCCTAGGACTGCTCTGGGCACCAGTGTAGACAGGAAGCCTACACCATGTTCTTTTAAAATATGCCTGTGTTCTCATGTCTCTAGGGGGAGGCATGTGCACAGAGAGGACAGCCTTAGAGGGTTATTCCTAAAGCATCATTTTTTTTTTCAGAGTATTACATTGCCCTGGAACTTTTTTACAGACTAGGCTGGCAAGCTCCAGGGATCTTGTCTGTCTCTGGCTCCTCAACATAGTCCAGAAACTTTACTGAGCTGTTTTTTCAGGAGCTAAAATATTCTTAACATCAAGCAAATATAGAGCCAAAGGGACTTTATAAATGTGTCTTTAAGAAATGTAGTACACTAGGATTCTTAGTGATGTCTGACCAAGTTGTCACACAAACAAGCCTTTCCTCTTTTTTTTCCAAGTCAATTAAAGCCCCCACTTTATTCTGTAATTCTTGTATATCATTGAAAAGCAGCAAAAAGGTATAGGCTAACTGCCCTTTGCAGGGGATTCCATTTGACTTTATACCCAGAAGACTATGCCATTCACACGAAAAACTTGTTACATATGGGGTATCATGATGAACTCAGCTGATCTTGTCAACCAAGAAACTTCAGTTATAAAACACCTATATAAGAAACATCCTGTGTAGATAGCAGATGGTTTGGGGCAGCATCTGGGAGCTTTCACCTCCACAGACATCTATGATCATCAGTCCCTGTGCTAAATTATATTACAGTTAATTTCAAAGAAAATTTACTGTGTCACTTCTATCATCTACTTTTGTTAAAACTTTATAACCGTCAAAGAACTGAAGCAATTCTAATAGTTCATTTATTAAAAAATAACTTTTCTTTATTTTTTAGTTTTATTTCTTTACTTATTTATTGTGTGCATGTTGACAACAAATGCCTTCACCAAGTGAGCTAACTCACTGGCTCAACAGTTCTTCTTAACTAATCTTGTAGAGGTTTTGAAGAACTTTCTCGAAAGTGAAATGACATTAGGTCATATGTAGTTTATCTGTTGTGTATTTTAAGTATTTAGGAATCAGATAGACCCTCTGCTGCCTATACCTGTACTTTGATTAGGCCCAATATTCTCAGGGAAGATGGGCAACATACTACATTTCTATTCTTTATGTTATTAGAAGTGAAATTTATTTTATAGACCAGCTCTAAAATACTTACCTAGCGCTTAACTATTTTCTATGCTATTTTCTGTAAATACTAAAACTGATGTTTATTATAGAGAAACAACCCGAGGATGAAAGCCCTCAAGCCTTCTCACAGAACGGATCTCCTCGCCTGAATCGGGCAGAACTTTCAATAAGGTCTGCCCCACAGGAGGCCTATGACGTTATCCTACAGAGGAAAGAAAATGAAGGGTTTGGTTTTGTCATCCTCACCTCTAAAAGCAAGCCGCCACCAGGAGGTAAGGGCTACTGTAGCCTGTTCTCTCCCAGAACATCCAGCTTTCTGGGTTTAGTAAATGAATTAAGACCTGTGTATAAATCGTCTTAGAGATTTATCTTTTTAAATCAGTAAATCTTTAATTCCAAAATCAGACAATCTAAAATCCTTCAGCCTTCAGATTTCTCTGGCATCTCAAATGCTACCAAAACAAAAAACTAAAACAAACAAACAAACAAAAAAACCCTTAGTTTTCACCAATATTGAGGAAATATGTCAGAGATCTAATTTCATGAATTTAGAAAAAGATACAATTTAAAATATTTTAAATAATAATTTTTAAGTTGGGAGGGTACTGATTTTCTAAAGTAGGAATGTATTAAATTCTGAGAGCAGGTGAGAAGGAGTAAAACTGGGAAAAGAAAGTCTCGCCCCAGTTGTGCCTTGGTTATTTCATGTTGTGAACAATACCTGTCCTCCAGCTATGAGACGTTCTTGTTGAATGATGAGTGGCAGGCAGTCCTGCCTTTCACATTGTCTCATCGAAAGGCAGGATTTTATTAGAACCTTTAAAAGTTAATATTTTGAGCCAGTGTTAACAGTTTTGCACCTGAGATGGATGAATGTATATATAAAAGAGGTAATCTAGCAAGCACAGGCTGTTAGGATTCAGCACAGTAAATCTTTGCTTTGTCTTTATGTTTCTAAAAAATAAGAACCCTATGCTTATGAAATGCAATTGAGTATCAGGTAAGAAAGAGTACACTGATATTTCTGTATTGTGCTTATCTACTAACTATTTTTTGTAAGTCAGAACAGTAAAAATCCTTGACCACATAAGAGTATGCTCTTGCCTTTGATGGTGGATTTGATTATTTCTTGGGTAGAAGATCCTATTAAAACTAAATGGTGACTAAGACTTTAGTTAAAAAAAAAAAGTCAAAGAAAACATTTTCAGGAAACTGCAAAAATCTTGCTACAATCAATACATGCATGTAAAAGGAGAAGACACTGTAATGAGGGCGGGTTACTGTAGTATCAGGTTACTGCTCACTCATACTAGTTCTGTTTTCCCAGAGCAGTTGCTATGGTAACACTTGGAACTAGAACTGTCACTGATGCTGTGAAGATAATTATGTAGCCTATGTCAGAACATGAAGCAAGAGATAGTTTTGATGTAGCATCTTTGGAAGTCAGACTTTTAAAAACAAAAAACTATGTGACTTAACTATCAAAGTCATATTGGTCATTTTAATTCCATATAATAATCTAATCCCTGACATTCAGATCAATAAATATAGTAAAAGATTTTTACACTATGTGATAAATGCTAAACGATTTTACATTAAAAATGCTCTATTCCTACTGCTGCAAAAGATAATGAGAATCTAGTGTTCACCATAAAACAAAGCAATATAGGTGAATTCAGTAAGAAGATACATTACTTATATCCTTAAACATTTTCATATTTATTTGTTTATATTAAATCTTTTGTTTTCATTCATTTAAACACTGATATTTTGATGGCTTTGTGTATGTAAATATTTGACTTAATTAAATGATTTCATTAATTTTTTTAGGCTTCATATTCAGACAAACTTTTATTCAAGCCTGTTCTATCTTTAATAGCAGATGGACTTAACATGGGACAGGTTACTTACCCTGCAAGAGCTATGGTTTCCCCTGTAAACTGAGGGCAGTGCTAATGCCCTTGTCTCATTGAGTTTGAGGACTGCAATAAGCATGTAGATCCTGGAGCCCAAGGTAGCTGCTGTGACTTACTGTGATCACTACTGCCCTTGTTATTATCAGCTTACCTAAAACATTGCAACAGGCTCTGGCTTGTAGTTTGAGGGGAGAGGAAGTTCTTTGTGTTTTTGAGATAGCATCTTATCATGTTGTCTAGGCTGTTCCTGAACTTGTAGGCCCAGAGTAGCTGGGACTTGGCTGGGACACACAAGTACCCAGCAACCTTCTCGGTTAGGGAACCTAAGATATGAAAGCCCAGTTCAAATGTAAGACTGAGGCACAAAACTAACTTGTGGCAGGAAAGGAGTGTTTAATGCTCATTAAGTATCAGTGTAAACTTCAATTAGACTCACATGGTGGGCATGTTCTTTATAAATATCCAGTTTTTAGTCGAGGTACAAAATCAGAGTTGGTAATTTCACTTAACTGCTAGTTAATAATGTCACAAGTACTGGGTCCTGGAGCATTCCTTTTAGAACACCACTTGTCTCACTCAGAGAGAAGAACCCTGGGTAAATGTAGATGATAGGCTTCCATTCCCAGAAGCAGACCAGTTAGTGCAGTTAGTGACAAAGCTGTGCCTTATAAGGGAGGAGGCACTGTTGGAAAGGCAGAAAACCTGTCTGTTCCTTTTTATGAACCTTGTCTCAGGACCCTGTTCAACATAGATCACTTTTTTTCTCTGAGGTAAATGTGTCTTTAGTGACACGTGTCCCAAAAAAGAGCTCCTAGTAGCATCTCTGGAAGCAGTTTTGAAATTGTAAGATTCCCTACTGCTGGCATTGTCCAAGATCAGGCAGTCTCGGCCAGCATCCTCACAGTGAGCCTTAGTGCTGAGTGAGCACATGCTTAGAAAAGCCCTGCTTTGGTGAAAGGACATGGCTCACTTTACTTTGCCAGTCCTGCAGCCGTGTTACTGTTACTCTTGTCATACGCTTTTCAGTTTTGCTTGCAAAGGGTTTATTTCAAAAGGAAGGACATTTCCAGTTACTGTCTTTTCTTTTACTGAAAATAAATGAAGAGTACTAACCTGATCTGAGGAACTGGATATGCCAGACTGAGATAGGTGGAGTCCAGGGATGAATTAGATACATATGGGAAAGGTGGTATCAGGGCAGATGTCCATAGAATATATACTAATAAAAATAAGGCAAGACCTGACACTGTGTGAACTTTGAGGAAATACCAGAACAGACTTCCCATGTGACCTTTCAGGGTTCTGTTGGTGGCTCTGCTCCAAGTGTTAAGACATTACAAATCTGACCACTTCCATCACCCAGACAAGCTCTGTGGGAAGTTGCATACCACCATTCTGCAGTGCTTTGCTTTTGCTCTACCCACATACTCATGCCCAAAGGGAACCACTGAGATTTCAGAGATTGATTTTGTTTGGTGCTTTACTAAGTCTGAACAAACCTTGCAGTGTGCCAAGTTGCTGAGTGATTTCTTCTCAGAAGATTTTGAATGAACACTATGTATAAGTAAATCTTTTCTAAGAAGTAGAACTAAGGTATTGATTTAGGATATCACAACAGGGCCACCATATAATTCGCCACATGTTTCTAATGTGCTACCTGTTATACTCATGGGTTATAATTCACTAATAGTTTAGTGAATTAGCTCAGAATGTTTGGTGTAGGACATGGCCCATACTACACTGACATTTTTCTAATTATTCTGTTTGTAAGGGAAATGGACTCCTAAGTCCTTGATTTCATTTTGTGCTAAAAGCACTTGTTTCTGACATTAATTGTCTCCCATTTAAAAATAAAATCTATGACTGTAAGTCGAGAACATAAACCATGACCAAGAATAATTTTTCTAGTCCAATTGAAAATCTATTAAATATCTATAGGACACTCCCAGCTATGATTCAGAAATACTAGTAAGTAGTGTTTTACTTGGGAAATTAAACCTAATTCACAGTGCCATCTAAAAATACTGTCACTGTTCATATCAGTCAGTAGTCATGAAGGATCCATGGGTATTGACCTTGGCTAGGAAACGCTCAGAGAATGTAAATGTAGATTTGCTTCCTAGTACAAATGCCATTGATTGCACATTGGATGTTACCTTGTTTGACAAGAAGCCCTGAATGTCTAGGGACTTGTCTTAAGCTGTGGCAACAACACAGTACTGCCCTCCCTCAATCAGTCTGTAAGGCCCTTATACACTAAGCCAGAGCTGCAGTAGCATGCCTGAAGCCCTGCATGCTAACAAGGTAGTCACAACTCCATGCAATGAGGAGAACCAAATAGTCTTAACACTAAATATTCAGCCTTTACTCTCATGTAGCTTTTGAATTTTAAAAAGATCTAAAGACACAAATTAATTTTTATGCCAATGTGTCTATGTGTTGGCAGGATGCATGTGTGTGTGTGTGTGTGTGTGTGTGTGTGTGTGTGTGTGTGTAGGCTAGAGGACAACCTGAGAGGTGATCCTCAGGAGCACAGTCCACTTCCTTTCACCCAGGGTCTCTCATTGGTCTGGAGATCACCAGCTAGACTAGGCTGGCTGGCTACCTAGCCCTAGGGATTCTACTGTCTTGAATCCCTAACACTGGGATTTTAATCATGTACCCCTATCCCCACTTTTATGTAGATTCTGGGAACTGAATGGAGGTCTGTCTGCTTAAAAGGCATTCTACTAACTGAGCCTTCTTCCCAGCCCACAAATTAGTTTTTGTATAGAAGTATAATTCATTTTAGAGATCATTTATTTTCATTGTACCTGGACTTCTAACCAGTTACCAAGTCTTATTCATGAAATGACTTGTATTTGTTAAAAGATTCCTCTTGAGACTCACCGCCCTTTCAGCAAAGCCAAAGGATCTTATTTCTAAAATAGCTTGTACACATACACACAAAGTAAAAAACCAAAAAACTGATACAGCTGAGGTAGCTAAGAGTGGCCTTAGCTAGGAAAATGATATAAACAGAGGAAAAACACACAAGATTGAGGTCTGGGTGGAGACAGCTGAGTAACAGGAGACCACACTGGAACCAGAATGTGCAGTAAGCCTGATAAGATACACATCTCCCCAAATCAGATACCAGGAGGAAAAGCCAGCAGGAGTTTGGTGTGAGATTGAGGATTCCAGAGCAAACTGTATGAAAGAGGCTTTGCTGCATATTTGGCCTTGTGCTTAAGGAAGGTGAAAGAAGGGTGAAAGATGACTCGGAGGGTGAGAGCACTTGTTGCTCTTGCAGAGGACCTGGGATCAATTCCCAGTACCCACATGGCAGTACACAACTGTCTGTAACTCTAGTTCTGGGCCCTGGAACCCTCTTCTGAACTCCAGGGCACCAAACATATGTATGGTATGCATACATACATGTAGGCAAAACATCTATCACATAAGTAAATCTGAAAAGAAAAAGATGAAAGACTTTTCACAGGAACATCTGAAGGACACATGTGGAACTAATATCAACACTGGAGTGCTCTAAGTACCCTTTAGAGAGCTGTGATGTGCCCTGTGGTACTTACCCAAGAGCCCTCAAACCTCAGGAGCACCCCCTCCCTGCCTTCTGCAGAGAAAGAGCCTGTCAGACCTAGCCCAGCCCAGCTTTCTGGGACTGTCATCTTGTGCTCATGTTTTCTCTTCCCTACTCATTCTGGCCCTTTCCTTCCTTCATTACACCTTCACTGTGGTTGATGCCATTTAACGCTCACGCTCACACACCCTCTCCCTCCCCCCACCCTTTCCCTCTCTCCCCACTGTCCTAGTAAAGCTTTTAAGGGCAAAATAAAAAGGTTAAAAAGATTAGTGGCTTTAAAAACCAAACAAACTGGAATAAGGTTTCTAGTAAATGGAAAACAGCAACAAGCTTCTATCTATGGTTACAACCACATTACGAAGTTTCTATGTGGTCAGTGGGAGGGGTGGACAGGATAATTGTGCCTTTTTCCCTTTGTTTTTGAAGCCTTTTCTTTGATATTAGTATGCAAACTTTCAAATAATGATAAGGGCAAATCCATCACTAGCAGGTATCTAAACTGGAAAACTTGGGGTTCTTGCCACAGTTATTCCTCATAAAATTGGCCGGGTCATAGACGGAAGTCCAGCTGATCGTTGTGGAAGACTGAAAGTTGGAGATCACATCTCTGCGGTGAATGGGCAGTCCATTGTTGACCTATCCCATGATAATATTGTTCAGCTCATCAAAGATGCTGGAGTCACCGTCACGCTGACAGTGGTTGCTGAAGAAGGTGAGGAAAAGGCCACCCTTCCCAAGATGATGTCTTAGTGTGTCTCAGTTACTGTTCTTTTGTCACTGTTGTATTGCTGTGAACAGACATCATGACCCAGGCAGAGTATAAAGGGATTTACTTAATAGGAGGCTTACTTATAGCTTCCGAGGGATAGACAACGACCATAATGGCGGGGAGCAGCGGCAGGCAGGCAGGCAAGCACTGGAGCAGTGGCTGAGGGCTTAGACCTGAGGTATAAGCTGCAGGCAGAGAGACAGGGAGAGTGGGCCTTAGTTTGGGCTTTCAAAGCCTCAAACAGGGCCATACCTACTCCAGCAAGAATTCACCTCCTAATTCTTCACAAATAGTTCCACTAACTAGGAACCAAACATTCAAACGTATGAATCTAGGGGGCCATTCTCATTCAAACCACCACACAGTACAATCCCAGAGTGTGTGAGAGCTGTTTATATGTTCTACAGAGCATATCATTCTTTACCTTTTCCACATCAGATCTTAAAAGACAATTTATTATAAAGTTGTCAATGGCGCAAAAGAAAATTTAGCTGGTGAATGATGGCCATTTATTTGTGTCAAGAAGCAGGCATCCAGAACTGAAAATTGGTGATACCTTTTAGATCTTATGTCTCAGCTTGAGTGTGAGGAGATCCTCTAGAGAGTTCAAAGGGTGTGGCTGTTGGCAGCACAGCTGGTATGTCAGATCTGTGCATGTGTGACCTTCTTTGGGAGTGGAGGTTTGTTCTGGGCAGCTGCTGTATGAACAGGAATGGAGTGTGTAGGAATGGCTCCTAAATGCAGTGTAGAACACACACTGGCAGCCCGGGATAGTGTCTCACCTCACTTTAAAGATGCCTTCCAGTCGGGCAGTGGTGGTGCACGCCTTTAATCTCAGCACTTGGGAGGCAGAGTTCGAGGCCAGCCTGGTCTACAGAATGAGTTCCAGGACAGCCAGGGCTACATAGAGAAACCCTGTCTCGAAAAACAAAACAAAACAAACAAAAAAGATGCCTTTCAGTCACTAAGAATTTCTAACAAGGAACTTTTTGAACCTCCTGTGTTCTTTGTTTATTATTTACTAAGTGACCACTATTTAACACTTATCTATCCTGACTTTGTACTGATAATGAGAAGAAAAAGGCAGAGTTATGAAAGTCCATTCCTCATAAAATTTCCTCAGACCTTGGGAGTGTGGCTCAGCGGTAGAACATTTGCCTAGTACACACAGACCCTGGGTTGGGTCACCAGTACTGCTGAGAGGAGAGAGCACTTAAGGTCCCTCATACTTTTTTATTCATATTACAGTTTTCCTCTGGTCCTAAGGTCAATTTCCAGGTGTTTTATAACTCCCACCCCCACAGCATGGTGCTGTGTTGTCAAGTCTGGTCTCACTCAGTCTCCTGAGCTCAGTGATCCTCCCCCTCAGCCTCCCAGAACAACAACTATGCCCAGGTGCAATCTCTCCACATATTTCCTCTTTTTTGTTCCTACTGGATTACTCTTACGTTTTACCTTTAAGGTACTGTGTAAGTCTTTTCTGTCTGAGGTACTGTGGTGAGAGTTCTCTCCTTAACATTTATTTTGTGACTCAGATGTCACAAGTCAGTGCCAGCATGCCATTGCAGAGTTGTGTGTGCAGTTCTGTGCTCATGCTGTCATGCAATGGTACTGACGGGTAGAGGAATTCGAGCCAGTACAAGACCAGCAGACTGCAGGCCACCTCGGGCTGGTAGTGTTGTAACAAACGTAAACGTTTTCTGTGAGACAGAAAGCTCTTCCTGACTGCTTGTTCTCACTGTCCTTAATGTGCTGCTGCTGCTGCTGCTGCTGACCACAGAGCACCCGGAATGACCTGGGACAGTTTGGGTGGAGGACAAAAGTTTTCCAAAGATATCTCTGGTTATTGATGCTAACTTTCTCTAAAAGGTTATCCAGAATTGCTCATTTTTCTTGGAGTAAAAACTACCTTTGACATTTCAGCCCAAATGTTTTGGGACAGATGCTTAGTGTAGTTACATGATCATGTCAGTAACCACTAGAAAGACACGAAAGAGAAATCTTAGTCAGTGGTTACCTATCATTTTATTGTACTCTGGATTTTTTTAAACTATGGAAACATTTAGAATCCCTTATTTTATTCAGGAAATAATAGAAAGTCTCCCTTTTGTACTAAAAAATGCCTTCATAGAATTTAAAAGTTTTCTAAGCCTCTCATTAAATTCAGTGTAAAACTTGCCAGCTACCCTGCAGTTAAATGAACCTTAAAAGCTGTTTTCAGAAACTATGTTCACACCATTCCTCCAAGTTACACAGCTTCTTACTAATACCCGTCTCCTGCCCACCCTCGCCTTCACTGTGAGAGGGAAAGAGTTGTTACCTGGAGAGCAGTGTGTCTCTCTGTCCCTTCATCTTCCATTTGCATGGTGCTATTTAGTATCTGGGGCTACTGTGCCACAGACATGATAAGGCAAGTGCCATGTGTCACATAAAAACTTCCAGACTGCAGTCATGACTTGGACCTGTATCCACCCTGTCCACTGACTCCAGCGCCACTGCCTCTACCATAGTCCTTTGGTCCTAAGGTTGGAGCAGGAGTTGGCTGCACCTGGTAGTTTGTGCTCACTATATAGAAGCCTTTATTGCTTTTTCAAATTGACTCCTAATGTTCTGTCAAGTCCTTTTATTTTTAAGAGTGGACTTAAGTTACCACAGCCACCAAGAATGTACACTGGTATGAAACAGCCATCGTTTGTGTTCCTTCCCCATTGGATATGGGTTTATTCCCATTTGCCTACACACTGCTGCACTCTGGTTTCCCTTCTAGTACTCTTCCTGTGTTCATTTTCATCTGTGCATCTTTTAAAGTGCACTGTCTGCAGTATGTATTGTCCTTACTTTTTCGGCTGTACAGGTAGATGATTCTGTGTTATAGATTGCTATTCTGAGACCTATTCTCAGAACTATGAGATTTGTTTTGTTTTCCAGGATTCAGTCAAAATTTCTATGGTTCCTCATGTCATCTCTTCTTTTCTCTTTTAACCAAGATAAACTCACATGTTATAAAACTCACCACAACATGCCATCCTGTGCTGTTATGGAGGGCTGTTGGTGGGAGAAGGGTCATTTTTCTTTTTTCTTTTTTTCTTTTTCTTTTTTTTCTTTTTCTTCTTTTTTTTTTTTTTCTTTTTGGTTTTTCGAGACAGGGTTTCTCTGTGTAGTCCTGGCTGTCCTGGAACTCACTCTGTAGACCAGGCTGGCCTCGAACTCAGAAATCTGCCTGGTTCTGCCTCCCAAGTGCTGGGATTAAAGGCATGCGCCACCACTGCCCAGTTTTTTCTTTTTTTTAAAGTTTATCCACAAAGTTGTCTAACCATCACCACTAATTTCACATCTTATCAGCTCCCAAAAGAAACCCCATAATCATTAAAAATTCCTTTCCATTTTCTTCTAACACCATCCCCCCAGCAACCACACATCGCTGGTTGCCTCCATACATTTTTTAGACATTTTACTTTAGTGGAATCATATAGTACGCGACCTTGTCTATCTGGCTTCTTTCTCTAGCAAACATTCAAGGTTCAACTTCACTGTAGCCTTAAATCATTCCTCTTATATGTAATAATGTAAAGTCCACATTACATATGCATCCTTACTTACCAATTAGTCATTTGCTACACATTTGTTTCTCATTTTTATTGTGAATTATGGCGATTGCTGTATATGTTTTCCTGCAATTCATGATTTCATCTTGTGAGTTTTTCTTAAAGTTAGAATTGTCAGTTCATATTATGTGCTCTCATATTTGGTTTTTGAGGCGTTGCCAAATGATTCCATTAGCCAGCTACACCATCTTATACTCTCGTCAGCCGTTTATGAGGGAGGCTTCCCACTTCGTCAGGTCCTCCTTATTTCTGGTTGGGGTAGTTTCCTCATACTAGCCACTCTAACGGATGTGAGGTGGGGTTTCACTGTGCTTTGGCATCACGTCACTGACAACTAGTAACGTTAAAGTTAGCATCTCTTCCTGTGCTTTGGAGAAATGGCTATTCGAATCCTTTGTGTGTGTGTATATATATATATAAATAAAACTTGACTTTTGTTGTATTATGAGTTTCCTTTGCTTATTCTGAATGCTAGATATTTTTCAGATGTGCAGCTTTCAAGTGTTTGTCTCCCAGCCTGGATTTGTCTTTGTACTTTCTTATCATTTTCTTATTACCTTTTGATGCACAAACATTTGTCAGTGAAGACTGACTTGTTTTGTGCTTTGTTCTTAAAGCATTCTGTACATTTACGGTATATCCACACTGTAGCTTGGTAGTTTCCCATGGGTGTTTGCCTCATCTTACCTGTCTGCTTCCCACATTGCTCCCAGCTCTGAATATAAAAAAAAGTCCTGTGATACACACATTTCTATGTGTACCCTATAAAACAGTGTGAGAATCTCTTGGAGTAGAATTACTTGCTCAGTCAGTGAGTATTAACATACCATTTGGCTCAGTGCTGTGAGTGTTTCTGTAACTGCTGCAGCCATCTCTACCTCCACTAAAACACCAAAGTTCCTTCTTGAGCCCTTATTTCATGGTCTTTACTTGGCATTATCAGCCTGTTGTGTGCAGTGTGGTCAACATTGCGAAAACACTATGATCACAGTATACTTAAGCAGCCACAAGGAAGAGACTGACATGTTGAACACAAGGTGAAATAGGAAGGCTCATTCCAGGTGATTAATTTGGTTAGAATCTTGTATGTGACAGAAAGTTTACCTTAAGACTTAAAGCAGGACAGTTGGCCTGTTTCATGGGTTATGTTAAAAGTAGAGGCCCAAGACCTGAGGGAAGTTCAAAATTGGTGACAAGAAAACCATGAGATATAAACTGCTCAATCTATATAATGTCACTTGTATGCATGTTTTCAGAACTGACCATATGGTGTTAGATAACTAATTGGGTATGCTCTTCCCTAGGGAAATAGATTCCTCCACTCTCAGACACCCTCAATTGCCTGTAGTTATTTGGGTTAAGGCCTCACAAACTTTTCTCAATACATTTTGGCTTGTCAATTGGTGTCGTCCTTTTTCAGCTCACATTTGGACAATCACGTGATACTTTATATAACATTCCTAGAAGACACAATCTCACAGCAAACCAATCCTCTGGCTCTTACAGTCTTTCTGCCCCCTTTCCACAATGTTCTCTGAGTCTTTGATACAAAGGTGTTCTGTAGATGCAATCACTGGTACTGGGCTGCACAGCTCTGGATTTTGATTGGTTGTGATTTTCTGTAGTTGTAGTGGTCTCCATCTATAGCAAAGAGAAGTTTCCTTGATGAGGGGTGAAGACCATACTTATCTGTGGATATGAGGACAAATGTTTAGATTGTTGTTGGGGATTATTCTAATTTAGTAAACCAATGGCTGTAGATTCTCCTACAATAACCATGACTTCACTAGCACAGAGTAGTTAGCTAGGTTTCCAGTTCAAGGCATGTTTTCTTTTCCCTCTTGTTGAATGGGTCTTATAATCCAATCATTCATACACACACACACACACACACACACACACACACACACACACACACACAAACAATGAGAAAAGAGGCCATGAATTTAAAGAACAAGGAAGAATATATGGGAGAAATGTAATTGCATTATAATTTCATAAAGTCTTAAGAAAAGGGGAAAAGAAGAGAAAAAAAATACTGGAAACGTAGTTCAGTTGGTAGAATGCTTGCCTAGCATACATGAAGTTCTGAGTTCAAACCCAGTACCATATAAGGTGAGTATGGGATCTCAGAACTCAGGAGGTGGACTTAGGAGGTCAAAGTTCAAGGTCATCCTCAGCTACATTATATCCTCCCTCAAAAACTAAATAAATACATAAATAATTCCTTTAATATTTTGAAAAAGTTATGAGGCCAAATTGTAACACCCTAAACTCATTAGGTAAAATTGTGGCTACTACACTGTAAAAGAGAAATACATTCAATATAAAGAAGAAGGTTAATAGCCTACTCCGCTCCATTTTCCCTTGTAAAATTCTTGTCTTTAAAGACAGGTCTGGTCCAAGGCCATCTGTCCATATCTGATGTGCGTGTGTCAACACAAGCCCAGCAGCAAAATGGCATTAGAATTGCCAACCCAGGCTTGATCAGGTTTTATTTCTGTCATCTTCACCTCTTACACTTGCCCTGTGCTTTTAGGAGTATTCTTGGCTTATAGTTGCAAGACATTCTTAAATACAACTTTGAAGAGTTATAGAGTGTAAAACCCAAGAATAGTGATTTATAAAACCCAAAGTTTTTCTACCGTGTCCATCTCTTATCTTTGACATCAGACTTTTTATCTCCCATTATACTCCCAAGATTCATTTATCAGTTTCTTTATGCTGATCTAATCTAAAATAGCCTCCATATTGAACATTCTTACAAAATAAAGTAAATGTTTCTAAGTATATACTTGAAGGAAATTCCAGATAAGACATCATTTTGATGATGATGACAATGACAATGATGGTTATTTTCTTAATTGCTTTCTTGTCGCTGTGATAAAGCATCATGGACTGGACTCACAGTTGCAGAGGGGTAGAGTTCATGATGGTGGAGTGGAGGCAGCAGCTGTGGAAGTCACAACAACAAGCTGGGAGCTTACATCTTAAAACACCAATAGGAAGCAAAAAAGGCAAACTTAGAATGGCATGTGACTTTAAACCATAAAGTCTAACCCCAGAGAAACACTTCCTCCAGCAAGGCCACACCTCCTAAACTTCCCCAAACAGCACAACCAACTGGAGACCAAGTATTTGGGTAGCTGAGCCTACAGGGGGCACTCTCATTTCAACCACCACAGTTATATTAGAAACTTGTAAGAACTTACATCTGTGGATTCATGCATGCGTGACCCTAAAGGGTAATTATAATTCTCCTTGCAGATGAGACAGAAGCGTGGAGAAATGAAAGTGCCCAAGAACACATAGGACACAGTGGGATTAGGCTTCACCTGCCCATCTTGCTCCAGAATTGATGCATGCGGTTACTTAGCTGAGCTCCCCATCTTTGATATTTTAAATATCCTAGATTTTGATATTTGGGTAGAGTCAAATATTCAAAAGTTCCAGCTTTAAAAATATGGATGTGGGCCAGCAAGATGGCTCAACAGTTAAACTGCACTTGCCACCAAGCCTGATAACCTAAATTCGATTCTTGAGATCTATACAGTAGAAGGAAAGAACCAACTCCTGACGTTGTTCTCTGACCTCTGCACATCTGCCCTGATACACATGCCCATCACACTCAGTGTATCTCTTAATGGCTCTGCAGTCCGAGATTCCCTTCTGACGGTCAGCTCCCAGGATATCCATCTAGTTGTGAATGTAGGCCTTGGCTGGTTCTGCACTTGGTCACCCAAGCAGTTAAGAATAATATGAACACAAATGATTCTCATATTCTTCCCCCTCCTCCCCCCCCCATTCATGCTCTTAGAAAATAAAAACAGTGAATCTTTATAAACATTTCTCACCACTCTGGATGACTTTTTGATCTTTGATGCTAAGTGTCAGGCAGAATAACTTCCTCTGTTAAAATGCAAGTTCCTGGAGAAAAGGAGAGAAAGGAAAGCTTGAGGGGACCCGCCACAGCCACCAGCACAACTGTGCCTGGAGACCAACCGAAACCAGCCACCTGACTCCCCCCCCCCCACCAACCCTCGCTGGCCGCCTTGTCCTCGGATTTGTTCCTACAGTCTATTAAAACATGGTGGATTACTACGAAGTGCTGGGCTTGCAGAGACATGCCTCACCTGAGGACATTAAAAAGGCGTATCGAAAACAAGCACTTAAATGGCACCCGGACAAAAATCCTGAGACTAAAGAAGCAGCAGAGCGGAAATTCAAACAAGTAGCTGAGGCCTATGAAGTGTTATCGGACACTAAAAAGCAGGACATCTATGACAAATACTGCAAAGAAGGATTAAATGGTGGTGGAGGAGGAGGTGGAAGTCATTTTGACAGTCCATTTGAGTTTGGCTTCACATTTTGGAACCCAGATGATGTCTTCAGGGAATTTTCTGGTGGAAGGGACCCATTTTCATTTGACTTTTCATTTTCATGGGACTATGAAGACCCATTTGATGACTTTTTTGGAAACCGAAGAGGTCCCCGAGGAAGTCGAAGCCGAGGTGCCGGCTCCTTTTTCAATGCCTTCAGTGGATTTCCTTCCTTCGGAAGTGGATTTCCTGCTTTTTATACAGGCTTTACTCCATTCGGGTCACTAGGTCACGGGGGTCTCATCTCATTCTCTTCAGCCTCATTTGGCGGCAGTGGAGTGGGCAACTTCAAATCAATATCAACGTCAACTAAGATAGCTAATGGCAAAAAAGTCACTACAAAGAGAATTGTGGAAAACAGTCAAGAAAGAGAAGTTGAAGAAGATGGACAGTTAACATCATTGACAATAAATGGTGAGGACTACCTGCTATGCTTGGATAACAAGTCATTCAACGCACGAATTTACCAGAAATGCTAAACCATAGATAGCAAGCACCATTTGAGAAATAACAGGAACTTTCTTTTTGAAGACCTCGACTTTCTGTATAACTGTACCTAATCTAAAGTATTTATAAAACAGCTCATTGGAGCCCCCATTTGTCAGATTTTTGAGTTTGTTGTTGGGACCACAAAATATAGGACCTTTCTTCCTTTTTTTCTTTTTTCTTTTTTTTCTTTCTTTCTTTTTTTTTTTTTTTGTCTTTAAAATTGTTGTAGCCGGGTGGTGGTGGCGCACGCCTTTAATCCCAGCACTTGGGAGGCAGAGGCAGGCGGATTTCTGAGTTCGAGAGTTCAAGGCTAGCCTGGTCTACAGAGTGAGTTCCAGGACAGCCAGGGCTATACAGAGAAACTCTGTCTGGAAAAAACAAACCAAAAAATAAAAAAATTTAAAAAAAAAAAAATAAAATTGTTGTAATCTCTGTATGCACTTTGCTTTAAGCCAAATGTAATCTGAGGTGAGCCCTGTGACTGAGTTGTGCTAGGATGAGATTGTTTTTAACACCAGCATGGAGCTGCTTCCCATTGTGTTGAATTGTGAGTGAGTAGTGTCAGCCTGCTGTGAAGTTAACATTGCCAGATGAATCTTCCACAGAAATATTTCAATTTTATTTTCAGTATTTAGTGATGAAAGCTATTACTGCATCAATGATAATACATTTCTGGTTTAGTGTAAATCAAGGGTGTTTTCTAGTTGTGCATGGATATTGGCAATCTTGTCAGTTTGACTATTGTTTAAATATGTAATGTTAAGCTTATGTTTAAAAAAGCTGGTAATTTGGGTTTTTGTCACTTGCTTTAAAAAAAAGAAAATAAATGCGAATGTGTTTGGTGCATTCTTAAAAAACAAAAACAAAAATACAAGTTCCCAGATGTGTGCAGTTTGCAGAGCAGCCTCTGTGCTCCAGCATCCTGAGGCTTAGCACTGTTAGGAAGGAAAACCTGTGCTCTGGAAACCTAGAACATAGTAGCCTCTGGAGTTCTGTCCTCTACATAGATATGACTGAATGGTACAGTTCTGGTTTCCGTGTTATGGAAGAGACAGGGGTGAAAATGTGAAATAAAAAATGGCTGCTGTTCTCTTAAAACATAAATGTCACTTAAAGCCAGAGGAGGAGGAGATTACTGTTCCCACTCCAGGAAGTAACCGTGCAGTTCTGTGAAAGCCCTAAAGCTGGGAACTGTAACCATCACAGTTGTTTACTTAAAGATCCACTTGGTCTTCATGTTTTCATGTACAGATTCTGATTTCTGTTGTTTTCTTATTTAAACAGAGCACCATGGTCCACCATCAGGAACAAACTCAGCCAGGCAGAGCCCAGCACTGCAGCACAGGCCCTTGGGACAGACACAGGCCAACCACATACCTGGGGACAGGTGTGGCTATTCTCAGGTTTTGGGTTTTTCTCATCTCTATCTCACTCCCAGGCAGTAATGCACAACCCAGATAGCCAAGTCTGGAAGAAGCTGTTGTGTGTCTCATCCTCATGGTCCTTCCCAATGCCTCCTGCCCTTCCAAACCCTCGCCCCACTTCCCAGCCTCCATGTCAGGCACAACAGTGAGCTAGTCAGCCTTGGGGCAGCATCTAACTTACTTCTCTGGTAAGCACTTTAGGAGGGGAGGCCCAGCCCCACCTGAATCAGTCTTCTCAAACTACCTTACACTGGGCAATAGTTTGAACATATTTCTTTCCTCTGTTAAAAATATTAGTCATTAAAAAAAACAAAAACAAAAACAAAAAACCTAGGTTTCCAGAAATTCAGCATCTTCCCAGCCCTTGGGGCTTTGGAAGGTCCATTTCTCATGGTGACAAGGTCACGGTGTCTTCCATCAAAGCACCACTGAAGGAAGGGGATGGAGCTTAGTCTTTAGCCTACCCTGGAGGGAGGGAGTACTTTTCTTTCTAGCAATTTGGGTTCTAGAGATAGTCTGTTTACAGCAGCTTGTCAGGATAGAGGATGGTAAGGCTCAGCTCTGAGAGAAGTTGATAGATTTCTTTTCTTTTTAGACTGTTTCTCATTTTCTCAGTGCAAAACATAACTTGGTTTCTCTCACAGAAGTGCCCTAGAAGGTGAACTTGGGAAAGATATCTGCAATTCTTACAGACATTCCTGGTCTGACCACAAGCACCTTGCCCAGCCTGACACTGCAGTGATTTCAGTTGTGGGCAGTCGGCACAATCAGGTAAACAGACACCCTGCTGCTGATGTTTGGGGCTGCTGTATCACTGACATCAGTGTTTTTACCGCAAATCTGTTCCAATACATTTGCTTCCAAATTTACTAATTTTTATAGAACTGGTAATGTGGTTGGCATTCATTATACCATACAAACAGAGAAATCGGGGGCCTAGGTTAAGTCTGTACTAGTACATAGTATTGTAGCTAATTAAAAGGCTTTTGCTTGCTTGTTTTTCAGGAAAAATTGTAAAAAAATCTCCATAAAGTGGGTACTTTAAAAAATTCTCTTCTCTTAATTGTTCTGTTGAACACTGACCCACTAGAAGAAGGCATAGTCTTCAAATGAATACATTTGAAATTATAAAAATTAAGTAGCAGCCCCAACTAGCATTTCTTTCTTACCACTTAGAACTGTATCAAGAGTATACACTATTTCTCTCAGCTATAAAAGCAGACTCTCTTCAAGACACAGCAGAAGCAGTGCATGAGAACGCTCTTGTCATGCTTCCTCCCCCAGAGCCTTGGGTGTTACCCTGTGGAGCTGGAGAGAGGCCCTCGAGGCTTCGGGTTCAGCCTCCGAGGAGGGAAGGAGTACAACATGGGGCTGTTCATCCTTCGCCTTGCTGAGGATGGGCCTGCCATCAAAGACGGCAGAATTCACGTGAGTTGACTTTTGTTTGGAACCTTTGCTTTTGGCTCTAGACTGGAAAGTTCTAGAAGTAATTGCTTTAGTGGGAATGCCAAACCCTCCTACACAGGAAATGGGTTTCTGCAGCCACATGCTGCCATTGTGCTTTCCCAGCCAGCCAGGGTGTCAGAGCCTCGAAGCTCCTCTGTGTGTCAGAAGAGTAGTCAGGACAGGGTAGGTGTATTATTAAATCAAATCACTTCCATCTTATTAAAAGGACTGAAGACAGCAGGATAAAAAGACTCTACAGTTTCTTCTAAAACATAAGCCCAGAGTTTTTCCACTTAGATCCCTACAGAGGCAGAAAAGTCTGGCTCTGCCAACTGTTAAAGTTATTAGAAAGACCAGAGTTCACAGACTTTCTCAACCTTGCAACACTAGCATTGTGCAGGGCACTAGAGACTAAATGGCTTATAGATCTCCACCTTTCTCCTTCTCTGGATATTAAAGACAAATCATATGTAAAAAGCAATTGTTGATCTCAGTTTTTAAAAATCAGTTAATTCGATAGTTAAGTAATCACTAAAGATTTTAAGTTCTAGCCCTCTTACCACCCAAGAGAACTTTGGGTTTCTTCTATTTTCAGTTGGCACCAGGGCAAAAGAACCTTTTAAACTGAGTAAATAGTAAGACAAATTATTCTTAGGTCTAATAATCAGAAAAGCCTTGGGAAAGGGGGGCTGGAGTGTAACTTAGTCAGTAGTGTGTTTGCATAGTATAACCAAGCATTGGGTTCAATCCTTGGCAGCACAGAAAGACTGTGTGGTGGTGCATTGCTGTAATTTCCATACTTGGGAAGTAAAGACAGGAAGGTCACAAGTTCAAGGTCATCCTCAGCTACCAGAGCAAGTTTGAGGCTAGCATGGGCCACATGAGTAGACCTAGTTTTAGAAATACAAATAGCTTCTTGGCGACTGCAGCTTTGTGACTGCTTCATACTGATCATTCATTTCAAAACCAGTTCTGAGTGTTTGCCTTAACCAAGGCTTTATGCCTGTTGTCAGGGGAACTGGGGAAAGGGCAGTACCATCCCTCCTCAGAATGAGCAGGCACAGGTTAGAGAGTGACTGATGACGGGGCTCAGAGGTGAGTGCAGTTCCTGCCGGGGAAGCTCTGCAAGCTGAAGAATTAGCAGTGGAGGGAAATGAAGTAAAGGCAGTCCACACAACAGGGACTTCTGGGGGTAAGCCTGTAGTTATTTAAGGTGTGTACAGGAGTACCTTAAGTGGAGGGAACTGAGGTGATGAAAGAGAGTGGTTATCAGTGTGCAGGTGCTGGAGAAGAGAGCTGGAGGTCACTCTTGCATGGAATGGGGGTGTGGGATAATCCTTTTCCTACCATCTTGTAGCTATAGAGCCTTAAGCAGCTTCTTTCTGAGCCTCGGTTTAAGTCCAGTGTGCCATCCTTTAAAGTTTTCTTGGTCCTCTCCTTCCTCCTCATTCTCCTCTACTGAGGTATTTCACACTTCTTCATTTTAAAAATGTTGGTTCCAAATAAGAGTCCTGAGATCTACTGATTCCATCATACACAAGGCCAAGCAGGTAATCCGTAGTTCTACAGTGCATCAGCAGCTCAAATCCCATGACTCAGACTATTTCATTTCAAAAACAAACTCTAGATTTTGAAAACAGAAGTAGGTAGACTATCACATTAGGTTTGGATCTGTCTAGTAAGAACATGCCAGCTTTCAGAGATGTCTTCTCTTATTCTCTAAGTGACACCCAAGGAGGAGGGCCTCTACCTCTCTTGCCTCCCTCCTCCTTTGCTGGTCTCAGATTAGCAACTCAAGTTTGTACTCTGTAACATTAAAATCCAGTATCTTCAGGACTTCATCCAGTGCCTTGAATAGTCACACATGTTTTTCTAAGGGATGCTTTGGGTGGGATTTTTAAAATTAAGATTAGTACTTTGTATATGTTTATAGATGCCAAGAGGGCAAAAGGATGGATAATCTAGACAATGAATTTTTAGAACTAGTTAGTATGTGGACATACATGTGTGAGGGCATGCTTGCCAAGGTGCATGTCAGAGGACAACTTGTGAGAACTGGGGCTTGCTTTCCATCCCTTAGTCTGTCAGCATTGGCTGCAAATACCTTTACCCACTGAGTCATTTCACCAGCTCTTAAATATTTAAATGTTTAGAAAATTAAGAATTCCTCTCAGCTCTTACTTATTATTACTAGGTGGACAAGGCCAGGGGAACAGCAACAGTGTATAATTCAGAAATCAAGAAAATGTTAGCATTCCCGCTGGGCGGTGGTGGCACACGCCTTTAATCCCAGCAATTGGACGGCAGAGGCAGGTGGATTTCTGAGTTCGAGGCCAGCCTGGTCTACAGAGTGAGTTCCAGGACAGCCAGGGCTACACAGAGAGACCCTGTCTCAAAAAACCAAAAAAAAAAGAAAAAGAAAAAAAATGTTAGCTTATGGCTGAGAAAGTACTGTGTGTCAGCAGAGGATCTGTAAACCTCCTGGGTCTGAAGCTGGACCAAGTCCTGAGGGATATTTCAGCATGTGCTTAGCATACCTGAGGTCTCCATCCCCAGTACCGTGAGCAGGAAGTCAGAGCCAGACACTCAGGGTCTGTCTCCAGCTATACTGCTGTTAGTCTGTGAGAAAAGTGACAGTGTCTACACTGACTTAAAACTGAGGCCCAGGGAGGCCCAGCTCCTAGAAGAGATCATTTGGGTTGGAGTTCCTTTGGAGGTATATCATTTCTTAACATGTTTTAAGATGTAATCTACATGTTGGACATATTTTTAAGACTCCTTTAGAAGACTTTATATCGATTTAATATTTTATGTGTATGGGTGTTTTGCCTTCAACTATGTCTGTGCACCACAGACATTCAGTACCCTCAGAGGCCAGAAGAGGGCAGCAGATCCTTTGGGACTGTGTTCCTAGCTGTGTGCTAGGAACCTGCATGCACTACCATAGAGTAGTACCTCTCTCCAGACGCAACTACATGGTTTTTTTGTTTTTTGTTTTTGTTTTTGTTTTTTTAAAGAAACAAGATCCAGCCGCATATGTAGCATAGAATGGCCTTGTCAGGCATCAATGGGAGGAGAGGCCCTTGGTCCTGTGAAGGCTCGATGCCCCAGTGTAGAGGAATGAAGGGGGGGTGGGGGAGGGGGGTTTCGGGAGTGAGTGGGTGTGTGTGGGAAAACCCTCTTAGAAGCAGGGGAAGGAGGGATGGGATAGGGGGTTTCCTGGGGGTAAGGAGGTAATCTGAGAAGATAGCATTTGAAATGTAAATAAAGAAAATAGCCAATAAAAGAAAGAAACAAGAACCATTCTTTCCGCTTCTTGTTTTCTTCTCCTAAGTTTTAAGGGAAAACCTCACTGTTTTTGCTAAGGCTGGCCTCAACTGACTACCTAATTATCTGAGTCTACAGATACACGTCTTTTTCTTATATTTTTGGTTGTGAGCCTAGCCTTTAACGAGTGAGCCATCTCTCTAGCCCACATGTCTTTTCTTCTTTCTTTTTTAAAAAATATTTTTGTTGTTTCTTTTTTTAAATAATCTATTCATTTATTTTTATTTCATGTGCATTGGTGTTTTGCCTTCATGTATGTCTGAGTGTGAGGGTGTCAAATCTTAGAGTTACAGACAGTTGTGAGCTGCCATGTGGTTGCTGGGAATTGAACTCAAGGACCTCCTGGAAGAACAAGTCTGTGCTCTTAACTGCTGAGCCATCTCTCCAGGCCGCATGTCTTTTTCTTAACTCCTTTTGTCTGGCTTTCATTTCTCTTCTTTCCTTTCTCCCTCATTTTTCAGTAATACAAAAATGGGGTTGAATGTTCAACTTTTCAAACATATTTTTACCGTTTTATTAACATTTTTATAGTAACTAAAAATCTCAGCAAAAATGTTAACCTGCCTCTTCCCAGAGGAGTGTTTCCCTTTGGTTTTTACACAGCCTGGACAGAACACAGGATTACTGGCCTAACAGAAACCTAAACCTCCACTTCCCTTTCCTTCCTATTTTATTTGAAAGTTAAAAATGACACCTGGTGGCGAGCCTGTTCAATTATGTTTTATTTATATTTTATTTACATTAAAATATACAGGTTTGTGGCTTAGGAGAAAAAACGTGACTGAAACTGTGACCTCTCTCCTGAGATGAACCAGTGTGCTCACACTGATTTTCATTTATTGTCGGAACTACTTTCCTGCTTTGTTATTCATACTTCCTCAGGAAAATGATTCTTTTTATTGCTTACTAATAAGGATTTTGTTAATTGTTTTTCTTACTGTTTTCTGTCCTGTAATCTTGATTGTCTTACCCTGCTTGTTTAAGCTTTTTTCATTTTACATTATTGTTTTTGTCTGTTTGTTACCATTTCTGAATACCTGATACTGGGAAATCTACAGAGAAGAAATGTAATTCTTGCACCTCTAGGGCTGTGAAATCCCAGGTCAAGGCAGTCTAGCTGGTGGAGAACTCTAGTCCTGAGACAGGAAGCAGTGCCATGTGGCAGGGAGACAGAGGATGCCTACAAGATGGGAGCTCACTTTTAAAACATCTGATGTACAAGATTGTTTCCAACAGTAATTCCAATGAGCACTTATCTGTGGTTGGTTTTATTTCCCTTTAAAGTAGACACTTCTGGTAAACAACAACAGTGCTGTGGTATTTTAGTCTGAGCCCTAGTTTCTGTTTCCCAGGAAAATGGTTTTATATTTGTTACTATAAACAATCCAGTAATTGGTTTAAATAAGTGTTCATATTAATGTATTCTCAATTCTTAACTTCATTACATTTTAATCTCTAAAATATATATCATTTAGCTAAAGCCTCACTCATGTATAGGATATGCTGGCAATACGAAGAATGGCCAGTGTCTTAGGAAAGCTTCAGTGATGAGCAACCATCTGCCCCAGCTTTAGAAAACCAAGTCAAGATTAGCTCATGTTTGAAAGCACCCTTTACAGATTCTTATTTAGGTGCCACTCTGCAATGTTACTTAGGGTTATACAGAAATGTCACCTTTTCTAGGGTCTAACTTTTGGTAGAAAACTAGGTTTGTTATTTATTTATTTTACAATACTAGGGATCAGACTCGGGGCCTCACAGATGTGGTAAAACCTGAATGTAATGCTTGATTTCAAATGCTTAAAACTCACTGGTAGCCACATAAAACTCTCTTGTGCAGAATTTTTATCAAGTAAGTAAAATCATGCATTGTCTCCCCATCAGCTGTCACCAAGATAGCACACTGTCTATGTTAAGGACTTCACAAGTGAGAATGACTTAGCTCTGTTGACAATGTGGAAATGAAGATTGGTGCCACTTCATACAGTTGTCCATGTTCCCTGTCCAGGTTGGTGACCAGATCGTTGAAATTAATGGGGAACCGACACAAGGCATCACACATACTCGAGCAATTGAGCTCATTCAGGCTGGTGGAAATAAAGTCCTCCTCCTTTTGAGGCCAGGAACTGGCTTGATACCTGACCATGGTAAGCAAAATAGCTAAACACTCATGCTGGCAAAGGAGGTGGCAGAAGGGAAGGGAATGCCCCTTTGAAGGTGACAGACATATTGCTGGCTAATTCAGAAGTGGACACCAGAGCCCCCAAAGAGAGTTCCTGTACTGCAAATGATGTTTCCAAACAGCAGTATATTTGTTGGAATAGAATATATTTTGTATTTATTTCATCTAAAATCACACAGTGCATTCTGTAGAGAAACATGCCTGTAATAACAGTAGAGGCAAACAATTCAAATTTCTTCAGAATATCCTAGCTTTATCCCCTCCTTGGCTAGTTACACATTGAAAGAAAAAAAAGTCTTACTTTCTCAAAGTAAGATATTCTGAGTCCTTGATATTCGTTGTCTCACTTAATGAATAAATGCCAAAGAACTTTAGGATTTTCTAGTCACTTAGCAAAATAAGTTCCTATAGCCACACTCTCTGGGAACAGGAAGGTAAACCTAAGATAATATGTCTGTACTGCACTGATTGTGAATGCCCTTGGCTTCATTATGTATTTTTGAACTGTCTCAGTGTTTTTAAAAATCACTTTGAGAATGTATGATCCTAGAAATAAAGGCAGCACCATGCCCAGTTAATGTGTGTCTCCCCTGCCCAACTCCTCATTAGAGCTTTTGCAGGGTAAGCATAGACATAACCTCCTACAGTCCCTTCCAGCTGTGATCCTCTGGCTGTGTTATCTTCCACCATCTGCTCATACAGCACATTCCCAGGGACATCTGTGCTAACTGTACTGGTTTGTTTTCACATAGTCCTAGGCTTTTTCTCTTCCTTCTTCAGGTTTGGCTCCTTCCGGTTTGTGCTCCTACGTGAAACCTGAGCAACATTAAGGCTTTCAGGGCTTTTCTTGGTCTTTCCTTAAAAAGACTTGGTAAATTTGCATGTCTTTTAAATCACTTCTTTCATTTTCTTTTTAATTAAAATGATGCTATTAAGTACATCTGTTTCTGTCTTCTGCACTTTTTCAATCTCCTTTTGACATTAATTTGACAGCCTAACAAGAAAGTGCCCATAAACTTCATTTTGGTTACCACAGTCTGATGTTTTTCACTAGTGATTTTGGCATATCCTTAAGTTAAGCAGTAATAATAGCTTAATTAGTAAGCATATTGGACCAGACACTTTGGTCCACTTTGATTATTTGTATCTCATTTGGCTAAATGAACATAGAGAATCTACAGATCGTATATATGTCTTATAGTACCTAGGTGAAAAATTATTATACCACAAATCTCCCTTCCATACATGAGCAGATATCTATAAGCATCTGCCTTTACAGAGAGCAATGTAAACATGAATAAGCTATGTAACATACTCCTTGGGCTATGCAACCAGTAACATTCAAATGGCTGTCAGTTCAAAACTCACTGTTCCTACTTATAATCCTTGAGTGTAACAATGTTCTGCTCAATCACTTTTTAGGTGATTGGGATACTAGTAGTCCTTCATCTTCCAATGTCATTTATGATGAACAGCCACCACTTCTCCCATCTTCACATTCTGCTTCCACATTTGAAGAGTCTCATGTGCCAGTAACTGAAGACTCTCTGATTAGAGTTCAGATATGTGAAAAGGCTGAAGAATTAAAGGACATTGTACAAGAAAAGAAAAGCACTTTAAATGGAATCCAGCCTGAGATGAAGTATCAGTCTGTCCAGAAAAATGTGAGTAAGAAGGATCCACCCAGAAGTTCTGGGCATGGTGAGAAGAATCTACTAAAAGGAGAGAATGGTGTTACACGAAGAGGTAGATCTGCTAGTCCCAAAAAGTCAGTTAGTCGACTTTCAGAGGAACATTTGGAAAAAATTCCCAGGCCCCTAAAAATTGACCCCAAAGGAAAATCTAGAGATCGGTCACTCAGCCCTAGGAAAGGAGAAAATAAAGGTCAGCTCACCATTAAGGCGGGCTCTGGACAAGATCCCTGTAGAAAAGACAGAGGACGGTCTTCTAGCCCCAAGAAGCAGCAAAAGATTGGAGGCAACAGCCTGTCAAACACTGAAGGCAAATTATCAGAGGCTGGGGGCCGAAGAGCAGCAGGCCACTCTACTGACAGCACTGAACAGCTCCCAGATGGGAAAGAAAAGTCAGGAGTCAGCAGGAAAGATCTGAAGCAGAGTCAGCTGGGAAAAAACAGAACAAGGTCTCCAGAGAAAAAGAGCAGTAGAGTTGATGGAACATCTCCCCCATCCAAAAAGACGAGCAACACTGCTAGTAGGGTAGTGTCTGAAAAGGAAAAAGGAAAGAAGCCATCAGCAGGAGAAACAAGTAGAGACAAAACAGGAGAAAACTCGAAGGTCTCAGCAGAGCAGCTCAAGCAGGAACCTGAAGAGAAGATGGCATTAAGTAAAGCAGAAGATCGCAAAGGCAAAGAATCAGAGATCACTGACAGATGCAAGGAACGTGCAGGGGGCACACCTGAATGTAGCTCTCCAGTCAAGAAAGCACCCATCACTCCAGGACCCTGGAGGGTGCCACGTGCAAATAAAGTCACAGGCACTACTGGCATGGCTGACAAACAGCTGTGACCTTTTATATAAAACAAAGAAAATTAAGTCGTAATCTTGTACTAAAACACAGCATTCTTAAGGGGGAGAGGTGTGGTTTACCCCCCCGAAATTCTATACCAGGTAGCCAGGCTGCATGAAGGGCTTCTAAGCTAAGACCCACCTGGCCCTGGCTGGCTGCCCTTCCTCATGCTCAGGAAGGAGCTGCATCCAAGGGCTCACCTGCCATGCCCTGCTCAGGCCGCTTGCTCAGCAATGACATGATCTTAGCAGTGTGGTCACAACTCACTTTGTGTTTGTGCCAAGTTATCTACTGTATCATGTCTGTTTTATCCTTCCCATTCTGATAGTCCAGTCATCAAACAGTTCGGTTTGGCTTGAAGATGTTTTCAATAGCATGTTGCATGTTTACAGAGAGAAATACTTGAGTCCTTGCAGAGAAAGAAATTGTTAGCTCATCATTAAAATGGGCACTTGCCTCTTCTCACAGCTTCTTACCATCCTAGTTTAAAAATGCAATTCACAAACATCACATTACAGAAAAGGTCAAATATTATAGATGCTTTTTTACTGCTAAGTAATGTGTTTAACTGTTAAAGATATTCCTTCCTCACAATTGAATGTTCAAAATGAGAACATACTCTAAGCGACAGAATTAACAAGCTCCTGCCATGTTAGCTATCCCTTATGTAGTGACAGTGTCTCAGATCACCTGTAGTCTTGAGGGAAGTACAAGAAGCATGTAGAAGTACCACTTGTTTCTCTTTAAAGAAAAACTACTACACCTGGATATTGTGATTATTAATCATTAGTCTTTAATATATAGTTGAAGACCCAAAATATTATGTAGATTTTTGTGAGGGACTTAATCATGTAGCCAGTTCTGCAGTCCACTGCCAGACAAAGCACCAGCTTCTGTAGCATAGAGGAGTTCATCTAGGAGCAGACACACGAGCATTAGGGATTTAGAAGCAGAGCCTGTCTTGGGCTTCCTCAGCAAGTCGGGATTAATATGGTATAGATTGTGTGTGTGTTGGAACTTTAATTTTTAGCTAATTATTTAAAAACAAAGCTTTCAGAGTTCCTTTTAAAGTCTAATAAAAATGTTTGCTGAAAGCTGGAGACAATTCTTGAACTCATATACTAGATCAAGACATTAGTTCCCTGAAGCAGCATTCAGAAACATCTATAAATACAGACATTTCTCAGACCAAAACTGTCTATTTATGGAGTATTTGAACACTCATTCTGTTACCTTGTGAGTCTGACAAATTCCACTGTGACAACTGTACTGGTCCCTGTTATGGCACATGCTCCCACCCAGAACTGTATTTAACCCATCTCAAAACTACTTGAATACGCAAATTAGGAGGCTTGATAAATGCTAAGAATTTAGTACCACAGAAATGATTTATTTTCCCTATAGTCCACAATTAGTGATACAAAGCCTATTTTTATTGTTAACTGTGACATAACTTTGATGTCATATTGTCAATATGATGTGGCTCTTCCTAAGTAACATGTCGCTGTACTGATTATATACTGACTTAGCAATGTGGCCTTGGAATGCTGAGCAAAATACGGATGTACTGGTTGTAAATGTTTATATATGTACAGTACCTTTATATATATATATATATATACACTTGAGGCTCTGATTAGAGAAAGATCTGTAAATCGCTCGTTATTTTTTATATAGATATTAAAAAAGAAAAAAAAAGTTGGTCTTGCTTTTTTTTTAACTGTCATTTTTTTAACATCATTTAAAATTGCTATTTGTGGAACCTAGTCCCATCATGATCTGAGTCATCAAAAACTTACAATCAAAAAGACAAAGTAATGACTCTTTGCCAGCACTTAATCTCACATATGGATAAAAGCCTTGAGTTGTATACCATTTTCTATAATGCTATTTTTTAATATCCCTTTTCTCTACTACCAGGGAAGAAAAGATATTGTATCTCACTGGAATTCAGTTACTACACATTTATAATAGACCAACAAGATCACAGCGTTCCATGGCAATTCACAATATTTAAAACCATTTTATTTTAGTTTTAAAATTAAGTGTGTAGACTTGACTTTATTTCACTTAGCATATAAACTGCTTAAATCCTACTTCAAAACTCAGGTTAATTAATATTCTTCAGAAGAAAAAAATCCTATAATTGCATGAATTCACACTAAAAATAAAAGTCTAGTCCCATTTCCAGGCCCACAATGGAAATGTGTCAAAGCAAAAGCTGCTGAAAGTAGGAGCTAAGCAGTTCTGTGGACACACAGTTAGTAGTCACCCAGGCAGGACTGTCTTCTGATAGTTATAGCATCCTTATAGCTGAGCAGTTCTGAACAAGGTCAACCTCTAGATCTGGTCTTGGACCCAGAAAGCATTTAGCTTCTTGTTTTGACATGTGAATATTTTCACTTAATGAAAGGAAACTGGGGTAGCAAGATAGTTCAGCAAGTAAGAACCTTTCACCAACCCTTCCATCCCCAGAACTCACACAGTAGAGTCAAGTCCATCAAGATGTCCTTCATGCATCCTGGATGTACTTTCACACAGATTTAGAAAACCAAAGTAATAGTCAAGATACTACTCGTGTGTAGAAATAGAAAGCCAAATGCTTTGTAAACATCCAGACAAATGGAGTTCCATGTTTTATGTGTCCATTTCTCACATTAACTTCTTAAGGCTCTGTGTAGTGACTTCTGCAAAGATACAGATTGGAGCTTAGCCTACCCTGTACTCTCAGAACCAAAGAACACCTGCATTGACTGACAAGACACAGCAGTCCACTGTGGAGTGAAACTACATCACAATACCTGTGTCTTGGCGTGCCCCACATGTAAAAGCTGTCAGCTTTCTAAACATCAGCAGATACATTTGTTTGGATAACTTTCTGCTTCTGCTGGCAATCAGTATGCTACCATTTTGGGAAGGCTATCACCTGTAGTTAGCTGAATTCATCTGGCACATCTACAGACTTGATAGGCTCTTAAGTCATTCTACCATATCGATACAAGAAAGTGCACAAGCAACATTAAGTATGAGGGAGTATATGAATGCTTATGAAGAATTTGATCTAGTAGAAAAGTCTAAATTTCAGTCTAAAATATGGACAAAGCCAAATGCTTTAGTTTAGATTTAAACTCTGCTTTCACAATCCTATAGATATATGCCCATTTTATACTCTGTACATTAAAGTAAAAAAGAATGCCAAAATTCACAAACCAAGAAACTTACTTTGTCCTAAGGACAACTACTAGTTAACCTGAGTACTACCTTATTGGAGCATCATGCAGGAAACACTGTATGTTTGTGCTCAAATCTCATGGCTCAGTACAGGCACCAGTGACTGCAAGAAACAGAAGATAAATTACTAGACTGGTCCATGTATGTAATAAATGAGTTCTCAGATAACTCCAAATCACCCTGTGTGAGAAAAAGGCCTATATAGCCTATTAAGAATATATACATCTAAAATTTTTCAAAACATTTTTTAAATGTTTAAATTTTTTAAATTCAGTTGAATTTAAAATAAGGTCGATTTGCTTTACATAGCACCATTGAACAAAATGTTTAAATCCATAAACTGACACATGGCAAGACCCAGTTATTTAGAATCTTTCTTGCTGAGAGAAAACTATATTCCAGTTAGACAAGCACATGGTTATCTGACTTTTCATTGTTTAGCTTAAAATAGTGTTTGTGACCATAACTTAACACGTCTAGGTTTATGGCGTATACATCCATAGCTATTTTAGGAGGGATGATTTTTCCAGGAAAACATTTTAAAAAACAAGTCAATGGATAATTTTCTTATTCTTTCATACTTATTACTACCCCCAATTAGCCTAATTCTATTTTTGCATCTTGGTTTTCTCAATAATGTAATAAATACTAACTACCAAAGTCTTAGCCCTTTTAAGGAATTGAAGCTTAAGTAACTAAGTATTACACAGGGATAAATGGAACATTGGTCTCTGCACAAGAATGACAAACAGGAGGACTATTATTCATCCAGTGTCCATATGCTAAGCATCTGTTAGGAGAATCCAGCACTGTTCTGCATTCTGAACAGTAAAGAAGAAAGTTGCTGCTTTCAAGGGGCTTACAGTCTAATAGGAAGGAGACACAAGTCAGGAAAAGATTATGATACACATGAAGGAAATTACTACAGTGATATAATTAACTAGGGTTACAATAGAGAACCTTACCAAGAACTGAAAGCTGAGAGCTATTTAGTAGCTATCCAGTAAGAGGTAAAAATACACATTTGAGGCAGAAGAAATACTTGAAAATACCTACCAAGAGCAAAAACTTGGTAAAGTTTGGGATGGCGTGGAAGGCAGCGAGAAGTAATGTCGAGGAGGTCAAATTGAAGAGAACTGCAGCCCTGACAAAAGAGCCTGGGAGGTGACCACAAGAAAGGCCTTCCCTCCTAAGCCTCTCCAGACAGCACCACCTACTGGGAACAAGTATTCAAAGGTCCAAAGCTAAGGATTACATCTCATTCACACCACTACAGTGTTGAACTAGATTAGACTCTGAACCTTTACCTGAGCAGCTACCTAAGGTCTAAACCATTTTAAGGTCAGGAAAATAATTAGAAACTTATTAAAACTAAAAATAATTAGAAGCAGATGTTAGATTCTGGTTAAGGGTAACACAGAGAATAGAATTAAACAAGGAGAGCCCCCAAGACTGCCTACAGGTAGCAACAGTGTAAAAAGGAAACCAGACAAAGCAGGTTTAGCTGGGTACTGGTAGCACAAGCACATGATACCCAACCACAATGAACCTCCAAAAGAATCAGGAAGAAGAAATTAGTGATAAAGCTAACACAGGCCTGCAATCACACTACCAATGCAGGACAACCTCATCACAGACCAAGCACAATGCATAGAAAGATGTTACTTTAGCAGCAAAGTTATCCTAAGTCCAGCTGTTCCTGGCACACCTACCAAGCTTAAAAGTAATCCTTGAAATGCCCGAACTGTCTCCAAGTAATTGCACTTCAAAATAAAGCTCAATAATATTAAAGAAAAAAATACACGCATACTACAATACCCTATTCTCCAACACTGTAAAATTCACAGCCAATAAAAAGTTACCAGGCATGTAAAACAGAAACATGTCTTAAATGAAGAAACAACACAATAAAAACAAATGGCCCAATGACATAGACAGCAAATATAAATATGTAAACATATTTATTATGTAGGATAAATATTTTAAGTAGACATGTGGAATTTCTAAGACCAAAAATCAAACTTTTACAGATGGAAAATATCTTGGCTGGAGCAGACACAATCGAACATGTCTGTAATCTGACAGATGGAAGGGGTCGGGAATTGGAGACCAACCTCAGTCACACAGTGTAACTTCTCTCAAAAGTTAAACAATACTACACTGGATGACATTACCAAATTAGTGCAGAACAGGATAGAAAACTTGGAGGTACCACAAAAAGAAGTATTAAAAATTCTGAAAAACCATAAACATTGGTCAGCTAAGGGAAGCTTCAAGTAACTGAATACACACGTGGATTTGAGACCCAAAAGGAGACAGGTCAGAGTGGAATGTAGAAAAGATGTGTTTAATGCCAAAAATGTTTCATAATTTGATCATGTGAAAATATGACCTATAAAATGATACAAAAGCCGGGCAGTGGTGGCACATGTCTTTAACCCCAGCAGAGGGAGGCAGAGGCAGGCGGATTTCTGAGTGCAAGGCCAGCCTGGTCTACAGAGTGAGTTCCAGGACAGCCAGGGCTACACAGAGAAACCCTGTCTCGAAAAAAAGGAAAAAAAATACAAAAACAATAAACCACAGATTCCTTAAAGTTCAACAAACCACAAAACAAATAATATGAAGAAAATACATCAACACAAATAATTCAGTTACACAAATTCAGTGGTAAAGCTGAAAATCTTAAAAGTAGTCGAAATTAAACATCAGATTCATTTGAGAGGGACAAAAATTAAAGACTTCTAGTCAGAAACAATGAGATCCAGAAAGCAATGGAACCACTTTTCGTTGTTGAGACAGGGTTTGACTATGTGGCGACTGGGAAGCTTGCTATGTAGATGAGGCCTGCCTACAACTCAAGAGAACCCACCTGACTCTGCCTCCTTAGAGCTTGGATTAAAGGTAGGAACCACCACTCCCTGCATTCAACTACTTATTTAAGCCTAAAATCTTATATTCAGCAAAAGTATCTTTTTATGTAGTATAGACTTACAAATATTTCAGCAGAATAAGTTTAAATGCCTGTGCTGTTATTCACTTTGGGTGACTGGATATTTAAAAAGCAAATGAACAACAAATGATTGCAAAGTTGACAAATAATAGTTGCCTTTGTCTGTTAAGTTTACCTGAAACTGGGCTGAAAGGATGGCTCAGAGGTTAAGAGTACATGCAGAAGACCCAAGTTCAATTCCCAGCACCAACATGGCAGCTCACAATAGTCTGTAACCTCAGTGTCAGGTGATCCAATGCCCTTTTCTGGCCTCAGGCACCAGACATAAACATAGTACACAAGTATTTACACAGGCAAAACAATCATACACATAAAAAAATGTAAAGCCAATCCCACATTAACTGTAATACATGAAATAACCAAGTGCTACAAAATCTTACCATTCAGGTGTTCATGCTTCTGGTCTTCCTCAAGAAATTCTCCAAAGCAGGGAACTTGGTGAGCAAAAATGCCAGGGTTTCCATTAACCAAGGCATGCATGATGGGTCACTAACAAGTAACGCTCCATCCACAGCACAGTCTGGCCAGTTGTCAGGCACTAAACCCGAAGTGTACTAGAGCCTGGATCCATGCTGCTGCACAGTAGGCCAGCCATTAGAGACCATGTCATCTGATGGCATGATGAAATCTCATGAGCATGCGTGACTCACCAACAACTGCACTTACAGGCTTAACTCAAAATCCTAAATTAAGATTTTCTCCAAAAATGAACAGAAATTTGTTTCAAAAGTTATTTCATTCCTCCACTCTCACTGCAAAAAAACCCTAGAAACTGAAATTCTCTAGTAAAGTTCTTTTATTTGGATTCAACCTAAAATAGTTTCTCTCATTTTGATAGAGAAATCCCCAATCCATAGACTATAATAGAAAAGTACTGCATTTGCATATTTCCAATAAAAGATAGTTGCTTCATGCTTTGGGCATCTACCATGGTTACCCAAAAGACTATTTACAGTAAATATAACTAGCACAGTACTGAAGGCTCCAAGATAAGTGTCCTGACTCAGGAAACAGTCCCAAGTCTCTGTGAGGCAGGCTTTAGTTTGCTATTATTCATGTCGCTTGAGAACCATGAAAGTGCAGGTTTTTAACACGTGCCCAGGGAAAGGATTTGCTGAAACTCCATTCGTTAGTCTGGGCTGAGTAGGAGGCTTATGCATGTGAGCCTGCGGTGGGGTCACTGGTTTCTGTGAGCCATCTTTGTCCGCAGTGGGGAAGCAGTGACACAGCCAGAGAAGAGTCCAGGCACACATCTCAGCTCAAGACTTAATTTTCCACAGCTAAAAAAAAGAAAATCACCCCAAAAGAAAACAGTTAGCTATAAGACAAAAAGGTGGGACTTAGATATATATTCATATGACTATGAACTAAAAAAAACCACTGTTTTATCTAAAATTTATTATAAAAACCTTGCAAATAAAAAACATCACATAGCAAGCAAAGTCTACCTCTCACTGACTTTCTGCATATCCTGAGCTGTGGTGTGTCACACCATACTTTTATTATCAATTATGGTTTTGAACTTTCACATTCACTATTATTTAATTTCTAAAGATTTATTTTTATTTGATGTAAGTATTTATTTAAGTGTTTTGCCTACATGTATGCGGGTATACCACATGCATGCCTGACCAGAGTCAGAAGAGAGTGTCAGATCCCATGAACCATCATGTGGGTACCAAGAACTGAACCCAGGTCCCCTGCAAAAGCAACAAGTGCTCTTAACTGTTGAGCTATCTCCCTAGTTCCCTAAGTTGTACTATTATGTACTTATCCACCACATATACACACAAGACCCATTACAAAGTTAATACTAGAAGAACCTGATGTCCTTTCAGGTTCTTCTCCTCCATCACTCACTCCAACCTTCTGTTTTCCTTTCTGTGTGTTACACTATATCCACATGCCTGCCTGTTTACAAACGTCCATGTATATATCCATGCATATATATTAGGCTAATATCTACACAGGATAGAAAACATGCAGGATTTTTTCTTTCTGAGACTGAGACTGTGTAACCTTACTTAATATTACATATTCTATATCCACCCATTTTCCTCCAGATTTTGCAATTTCATTTTTATAAAGCTCAATAGTGTTTCATATGTGGACCAGATTTTCATTATCCATCCATCTGTTGATAGACAAGTAGGTTTGTCTCACTTCTTTGCTATAGTCACTGAAGCAGCGATAAACATGAGGTGTAGGTGTCTCTGTGGTGGTGAATGGGGGTCTCTGGGTGTGTGCCGAGAGTGAAATAGCTGGGTCACATGGTAGTTCTGTTTTTAATTTTCTGCAGAACTTCCAAACCTATTTCTATAAGAAGAACCTTTACACGGGAAGAAATAAATAATTCTGACAATGGAAGGAGAAAAAAGAAATACTTCCAGATCAAAAGTGGCACCTACTGTTAATGTTTTGCAGGTTTTCAGTCATTCCCATATTTCCCTGGGTCACAGTGACATGTTCACCCAGACCATGCTACTGACATGAAATTCAAAATTGGATTTTTAGTTTGATCAAGAGTTTGGTCTTTTAGTTTTATAAAATGAGGAAAGCTGAGAAGCCTATAAACCACCAAGCCACATGTCCTCAAGAGTTGGTTCCACGGCCACACGGTATTAAAGACAAAGGCTACAGAGCAGCGTGACACGTACTCTTATGTTGAATCCTAGAAGGTCACTTATAACCCCAGAGACAGCAGAAAGGATGACCACTCTCGTGATGTTGTAGATTAAGGGGTTCATGGTCAGTCCATAGAGTCTAAATGGTGTGTCCAGCTCCTACGGGACAAAGGAACTGAAATGAACCATGGCTTCCCGACAATTCACATTACTTCATGCTAGGTTTTGAGGATGCTGCTTATGACTCTTCCTTAATATCTCAGAGCTACTTTCAAGAAATCAGTGAGGTATTCACCAACCTTTCCATGGCCTAACCTTGTTACAGTGGAAGGGAGCAAGAAGTCATTAATACTTTTTTTAAAAAAGGAGTACCTTTAATCCTAGCAGTTGGGGGTCAGAGTCAGGGAAGTCTCTGTGAGTTCAAGGCTACCCTGGCCTACACAGTGAATGTGTATGTAGTTATACTCTCTCCCTCAAAAAAAAAAAAAAAAAAAAGAGAGATGATTAACCATTAGACCCCAGATTGTAAGACTGGGAATTCTTTCCCATTAATCCAAAACCAGCATGCCAGCGTTCAGAATCTGTATTGCCCAGCACTAGTCAGATATCTTTTCTAAGTAGTAAAACGTGAATTTAATGACTTAACTAAAAACAAGCTTAACTTATTTCATCTATATTGCATAAAAACACTGACCTGCCAGCAGCCAGAGCCTGGGCCCTGCACACAGAGACAGACTGGCCTTTTGGCTTCATGGATGAATATCTGGTACAAAGACCTAGCAGGCATAGCACTTACAGAGGTCAATGACAAGAAGGCTGAAGGCCTTGGGCTCAGCAGAAAGGCAGTGTCCTGAAGACTCCAGAGCCTCAGGGACCTGAAGCCTAAGCAAGCACTATGAGGAGACAAGCAGCAGCTCCTCAGACCCCGTGGCACTAGTGATGTTAGTGCCTCTGGGAACAGGGCTGAGGACACCATGACAGGAGCCAGTCACGGGGTGCACAGAGTGTAAGGCTCGAACATCTGTACCTCCAGCATCATCCCTGCCCTGGGATATGTGGGAACGACACAAATGTCATGAAGCTTGGCCATGCTGATGGCTCCTCAGCAGATCTAAGCACTAACACCCAGATAAAACACTCTCCATGGGCCAGGCAGAGGTCTGCTTTTCCACAGTCAAACCATAGCCCCAAGGGATATCCTCAAGAATAAGCCAGCGATCTTCCAGCCTCGTCCAGAAGAAGTAAGTTCTCTTTCTGACTAGACAGTCCAGCATGGTACTGGAAGCCACTCTTCCTACCTTGCTCCTGGCAGCTTCTGACAGCTCTGGCCTGTCCAGCCATGACTTCATCTGCCCTTTGTTTTTCTAAGAACTGACTAGCTCACATTGTAGAGAGTGTGCAGGTTGAGACCCACTTACCTTTAACAACTTTGTGGACAGCTTCAATACATTGTTTACAAGAGTGAGCTGTTCTTTTTTATTTGGCTTTTTTTCCATTTTAAGATACAAATTAATCTAAGAGAAAGAAAAGAGAGTAAGGTAAACTTTGCAAACAAAAACAATACACATTGCATAAAACCTGGCAGATTTTGAGGGCCATCTTTCTGAGTAAACTATGTCTAAGATCTGCAGCCTCAGCAGCTATGGAGCATGACGTCTTCCCACACGGTTTACCTCTTTGATAAAGAAAAGCTACTTAGAGAAAATAAAACAATCACTGATAAAACAATTATCAAAATGATAAAAAAAAGTCTAGTTGTAACATAATTAGCATACAAATTCCTTGAATTCAAACACTATGTCTCACTCTTAACCAATCTTCCCCAAGTGTCTTCAATAAGCATTTATGGATAGAGGAAAAAGGCTGTTTTAACTTATTAATTCCTTATTTTTCCTCTATAGAAACAATTATCCACTATGACTCTAAAGCCAAAAAATAATAATAATAAAAAAAGACAAATTATCTCAAGTATGTTTACTTAATGTTTCTGGAAAACTTGAACTTAAAATCAAAATTAACATAGAAAATGCATTATCGGCTATAAGCTATTGTAAACAGGCAGTTTTTGTGACAATTTACCAGCCTGAGTAGTCATAGACCTTGTAAATAGGTAGCCTTGGCAGACAATACCAACTTAGATAAGGACAAGTGAGTCATAGGCAGAGTCATAGTGACTTGTCCCCTGAAACTTCACCCAGTCGATACCCGGTTCTGAAGATATCTGTATTCCCCCTGAACACTCACACTCCAGTGTCATCCCCTTCCCCACGTCCTGCCTTTCTGTGTTTATAACCCCTGTGTGAATGAGTATAAATTACAATTTGAAAAAAATAAATAAATTATATTAAAATAAAGAAAAAAAAAGAAAATGCATTATCATCACTCCACAGTCACAAGGAGCGTCTGTCAATCTTAGTGTGTACTTACACGTTCCCTTAGTAACAACAACAACACCTCTACAGTATGACAAAGTACTTTCATCCCATTAGCAACTCATTCTCCCAGTCACAGGCAGAAGATAGAGGTGTTACACTCATTTTAGATACAGGAAAAAAAAAGATAATGACAGAGTGGTAAGAGACGTGAGGTCACAGTTAATGACTCAGCCCAGTGCTCCACATCGACACCACAGCCCGTGGCTGGGACCCATCAGTACCTGTTCAGTGAGCAGGATGGAAACGTTGCTGTACTTCTTGTTGGTTTCTGACCCCAGTGAGGCCAGGCGAAGCAAGAAAAGCAGCAATGCTGTTTCCCAGATCAAGAACTCCCAGTTGTAAGCATCATTCAGGAATGTCTTGTGACCTTGAAGAACCTATCAAAGGACCAGAAAAAGTTCAATAGTTGTCTTTTTTTTATTAATCATTTTATTCATTTACATTTCAGATAATACCCTCCTTCTCAGTTACCCCCTACCAGTCCCCTATCCATCCCCCCTCTCCCCACTCCCCTTCGCCTCTATGAGGGTGCTCCTCCACCCACTCTCAACTGTTGTCTTAATATCACCGAATTATTCTTCTGTCAATTATGAAACATTACCAGCAATCTACAGT